CTGTGCAAATGGAAATTTTTAAATGAAAAACGCCAGGGCAAAACAAAGTTTTTGATCGTCCTCGAGCATATTAATTCAATATTCGTTGCGATCCAATTTAAAAAGTTACTTTCACCATCACCACGCCGCCGTCGCCGTCCACATCGCCGCCACCGCCAATGTCGTCACCGCCACGCTCAAAACAGCACGTCGTTTGCTCACTTGCAACAATGTAATTAATTTATGAGAGAGCAAGCATACATGACGAAAAATTAATTTCATTTTGTTCATTCGCCTCATTATTTATTCAACTTCATTTTGCTGCTCGCTTTTTTTTTCAAACGAAGAATAAGAATTAGCCTACGTGATATATACACGGAAAACAGACGTATGTGATTTTCCTTTGGCCCCTGAGTGTGTGTAACATTTATACTGTAAAACGATCCGGAGTGAATGATAAAATAGACGGCAGTTTTTTCTTGTCAGCAGAAAACACACACACTCGCACTCATACACACACACACACAAGCTAACAATTTAAGCTTTTTGTGAATTTGATCCGCGCTTGTTTAAGTAATTTCGTGAATGTAAAATCTCTGCCGAAAATGTCATTTCTATATTTGGTGTGCTTTATTTAGAAAATGGGTATTTCATCGAGTCAGCCACGAGTGAGCCAGTTTTAAGTTCATAGAGTATAGTAATTGAATTATTGATTCAACTGTTTTTCTATACGGTAGTGTGTGTGTGTGTGTTAGTGAATGTGGCCATTTCACAATGACAGCTTCTAAAAATTAAAATCGTCCTGGTCTGCCTTGGCAAATCGGGGCCATCTCTCTCTCTCACTCTCTGCGGCCAAATGGATTAAAAATATCAATGCATTGTCAATAATCGTAATAATCGTATTAAAATGGATCAAACCAATTGTTAGAGACAGAATTGTATGACCCGAATCCAAGTGAACCATCCAACTTAAATACAAACACACACAGAGTCGCTCGGTTGCTTGTTCGCCTCACTCATCGACGACAATGGCACACATGGCGTCACTCGACATTCGGCATCGAAATCAAAACAGAACTTCACATCGAAAAGTAAACAGTAGAAAATGCAATAAACGAAAACGAAATCATTGAATTAAGTCCAGTGAACAATAAAGTTTCATCGTAAAGTCGTCATGTACACGGCGTATATGTTGTTTTTTTTTCTCCTCCTGTTTCTTCTAGTTTGCTCCCTCTCTATTTGTACGACTGGCCCATCTGGAGAGAACTTAAAGCATTCTCTATATAAAGAAATACACGACACAAAAAATAGAAAAAGAAGAAGAAGAAGAAGAAGAGGAAGAATAGAGAAAAAAAAAGTCGAAAGAAAAATGTTGGTAATTCGTTGTGTATTTGCTCAAATATTTGTCGATATTTAGTGTGTTCCGATCGCTTTTGATGTGCCATTTGACTGCTCTTTTTGTTACGAGAACATATACCACTATGGCTATTATTACTACGAGCAGGCCACAACTCGAAAATTTATTCGAAATGCACACATTTGATGCTACTGCTGCTAAAACAGAAAAGGTTGTATGCTTTTGATGCGGCTGTTGCTGCTGCTACTGCTACTGCTGCACAATCATCGACCAAACCGATTCGACAAACGAATCCTATAACAATAACAATTGTAATGATATTACCGACAAATACAATTGAACACCAAAGCAATTTATTTCTGATCGTCGACTATTCCCATAAAAATCAATAATGACACCAGAGAGAATGCTCGCTGTTCATTTTGCAGTACACACTCATACACCGTCGCTCAATGTGTATGTGGCGTTTTTAAGTGTCTTTCAATTGCAACCGAACCAATTTTTCACAATCGATTCTCTTTTTTTTTGTTCGTTATTGGTTGGAAAATTGCAGAAGAAAACAAATTAAAACGATACAAAGGGAGACGAACGGAGAAAGATTAAAAAAGAATGGCGTTCGTGTGGTCCATTGCAATTATGTCATTTTAGTTAATTATCAAAATAAAAAAAGAACAAACGACAAACGGGCCCTTTTTTCAGTGAATCTTTGGCATATATCACATATTTTATGTTGCTTTTCCAGCGCTTAGCCATCATTCAATGGACGGTATTGATAAACGAGTGATCCGATGTTAATGTTCGCATGAGGGGTCAACACGATAGAGTGTAGTATCAAATATCGCTTATTTTCCATTTTCTGTCATATTTAATATAGCGGATGTGTCATAAATATCCACACATGGTCTTGTGTCAATAGATCAAATTGTCTGATGGAAGTGCTCTCAGTTGATGCGCATATTATTCCCTCTTCCACTCGTGTACACAGTCTCGGTAAGACGATCTTCAATCAGAGACAGCACCGATGAAGAAACGGGTAATGCAAACGAGAAATATGAAACTGCAGCTCGCACATTGGGAGATGTGATGCTGGCGCGCACGCAATGATAAATGGCGACCAACGAGCCCTGCGAAACCAACTTTATGGCATTAATTAATTGAATCAATATCGAGATCGGGTTACCATTAAATATGTATTTTTACACGCAAAACATCACATCAACTTTCCATTATAACCGATCCATTGAATTACGACATGGCATCGAAAGGTTTTTTTTGTTGTGATTTCGGAATGTTTTCCATTAGATCCACGAAAAATCTCAACGAAAATAATAATAATCATCATCAAACGCTAATGGAATATAACGATTTCTAAATCTCTCACTCGCAAATCCGGCCACAGAGTGAATAAAAGATGCTATTTGGCACTCACATGAGTTGTAGAAAATAAAAACGATGAGAGTTTGTCGATGAATTCACAACAAATGCAAAATGCTCCTAGATGATTTCAAATCTCCAAATGGATGAACGTTTCTGTTGGTCCTTTCATCTGTCTGCGCACTTCCGATGGGCCATTTGTTTTGTTTACATCATGGATTAATATTTATTCTCTTGAATAGCTTCATGATTTCGTACATGTCGATGTGAGTGACAGTTATTGTCCTCTACTCTCAGTTTGGCTTTCTCTCTATCTCTCACACTCGCTCAGCATCATTCACTCACTCGCTGAGGAGTCTTGCACGGGGTCACAATGTCGATGGTGCACACAAACGACCACTGTCGACATCAATTTATATCACGTTAGGCCTATCGTAATGACCATCAATGCGAACAATGACAGCTGAAATAAAGCCGAAAAATCAAAGGAATATCGAATTATGCGTCGTAGTCCATCTATCTCTCTCTCTATATATATATTTATTGGTAGACAAATAGGGACAGAAAAAACATAACGAAAAATTAATTTGTTCAAGCGGATTCGAGAGATGAGATCACAAGATTAATGGGAATGGTGGTGCTTGTCCGTTGCATCGTTTGAATTACGCAACAAAAGTGTGTGTGTTTGTGTGTATTTCTATGTGCATCAAGAGGAGCGCTCTGATAAATCCAACTATGGATGTTACCGTGTGGCGCACATATTTTCCTTTTTTTATTAATTTCTGCTATCCAAGGCAATCATCATAAACTGCAATCGACATTAGGAAAATTAGGGTACACAAAAAACATATTAAAAAACATAAATTCGAAAGATTCTCTGCCGTTGCACTCTGGAGGTAACGTAATGAAATGTTTTCAATATTTCATGGCAAATATTAGGTCCTCGAGTCGTTCCATATTTTATTCACGTGTCTGCACTCAAGTAATGCGGTCAGAAGACGAGTGAAAGCGAATGAAAGAGAGAAAGATATGGAAGAAAAAAAAAGATTCGTTTTTGGGGAATATTTATGAACTTATCGAATCGTAAAAATATTTTTCATTTTTCGTTCGCCCTTTCGGCAAACACACACTCTGATGCGAGAGAGTGGTGGCGGTGGCGGCGACGACGGCACTGTATCATACAAATATATGACTGCTTATTGCTGTTACGATTGTATTGAAAGAGAAGAGAGCAGGAGAGGGGCAGAGAGATGATGGAAAAAATGATGATGTACAGTATTTAGTTGTCGTTTTCAGGTCAATAAAACTGAAAAGAAGATGGGTCAATAATTTGTGCCGCTTCAAACGGCTTGATGATAACCATATTTATATTTTATATATTTTTCTGTTGTTGTTGTTGTTATTGTTGACTACCATATATTTAGCCGTTTAGGACAATTCTTCTTCCATTTGCTTTCACATGAATTTTTCACGGCATTCCTGTTCAATTTCGGATTCTATTCTCCGTTCTTTTCTTCTTTCATATCGAAACTAAAGAGATTTTTGTATGTTCTGTGTTTGTGTGCCGAAAAAAATGGAACAAATGGGTTTCCAGTTACATAAGTTGAATATCAATAGGTTAAATTTGTAGTCGAATCGTTTTGTATTTGACATTTGATTCGATGACGTTTTACTTTTCTTGACTCACTCTGTCACTCTCACTCCCGTGTGCACAGCAACGAATCGATGAAAAATCATCATTCGCCGTCCGATCCACAAACCGACGTAACTCATTCCACATGGCTTATATATGACCATTCTCCCATTTAATGCAATGGGGTCATAAAAATGTGGTGAAAACTTATCACCAAAACCAATCGGCTCTCTTCATCCACTTTCGCCTCAAAGGGCTTGACGGAGCAATAAACACAGAACAAAAACGGTTTTCATATTTTTTTTCGTTCGTTCTGTCTGTCTTTCTTTCTTTCTTTCTTTCACACGTCTCTATCCATTCGAATCGGCAATCTCATCTATCAACTGTCGTTGCTCTCTGAAAGAGTGAGAGAAGATATCTGAGCCTGCAATAACTGAAAACCTGTGATTATGCTCATAAGATTTATTGTATTTCATGAATGATTTCCAGTGATTTTCTTTCTATTTTTATGTATTCATGCCTAGAACATAAGCACCATCATCTGATTAATAAATATATATCATGTGATTTTTCTCTTCTTTTCCTCTGTCACATCTCTTATTTATCCATTCGAATCGGCAATCATATTTATCATTATTTTTTTTATTTCTATTACAGAGACTTGCAAGGCAACAACATCACGGTTATCTTCGAAATGGACTTTCAGCATCTATCGAAATTGCGCATTTTGTAAGTAGAATGAAAAAACAAAACAAAATAAAACTCTTGCACATTCCAATACATACGTGTAGCATTAAAAACCAATAAAAATCGATTTTACTTATAAGTCTTCTACAAAACGCATTATAATCAGCATCCCAGATCAATATATTAAGAATTAAATCACAATTTTAAATTCACATTCTCAATGGGCGAATATTTGAATGGAATGGGCGAAAATGTAAGAGAAGAAAAATAGAGAGAAGATGTGATTAGTTGAGTGAAAATGCCATGTTAATAGCAGGTGGTGGTCGCAATAGAACGATCGAAATTGATTTAACATTCCCTAGAAGAAGATGGCAACGACGACGACGTCAGCTACGAAAATGAAGACGACAACGACAAAAAAGGGCCAAATGACAAAAACATTAGCATCGCTAATGCGGATACGAAGAGAGAGAGAGAGAGAGAGAGAGAGAGATATGGGGAAATGTGCTCCGGAGCACAAATGAAGCAATAAATTACCGTCGCCACCGCCGCCACATATTAGCAATTCGATTCGCACTTGAACACCGTTCGAATCCGTTTGTTGTATTGTTTGGTTTTTGGCTTTATTTTGTGCGAACGAAATACAAACATGGACATTAAATAGACAAAAAACGAGCAACGTAGAGAAAATAACAAAAACGAGGCAAACGACACAATCATAAATTTCCACAAAATTGGAAAGAAATAGGAGAGATGAGAAGAAAAAAAAACGAAGAAGAAACGATGAATCGCGTCTTCATGTTTTTGAAAATGATATTTTCTTTTGTCAGAATTATATCCACATTAAATTGAATTATGTTTCGAATGTTTCTTTTTACGGAAGACAATTTATTAGCGTTCGCGCCTACTAGCAACAGTCAGCGCCAAAGTCAAAGCTGAATACGATACCGAATGTGCGCACGCGGTGTCTCAACCGCACAAACAATGGAACAACAATAACAAAATATGAGTGTTTCCGTTTCGACATTTCAACCTGTTCGCATTTTCAATGCTTCGGGTCTCACGCATACAGCCGAGAGAAGGCCGAGAGGCGACCGCATCAACGACTTTCGAGAAAGAAATTCCAAACGCTCAATTGAAAATCGGAGAATTTCTTCACATCGATGCTTTGTTTTGTTTTCCCATTCAGATGAGATGGCCCATTATCTGGAATTCATTCCATAATATGAGCATAATTTAGCATTTTCCTCGTCTTCTTATTCTTCTGTTATCGTATTCAGTCGTCATAAGCCAATTCATTCTGATGCTTAACGTTTTTTTTTGTCGTTGTCATTGTCGAAAATTGCGGCCATTTAAATGCATACGAAAAAGACAAAATAAATCATTTAAAACAGCACTGAGAAAATATACCGAAAGAGATGAGTCGCATTTAATGAATTTTAAATGATGATGATTGAGAAAGCAACAATATAAGATACCGAACACAATTAACACATGTGACAAACGAGATGAACACGCCGTTCGTTCATTCGGCCCGAATGGAATGGTGGTCGAGAAGACGAATGATTTGACATTGGTCAAATAAATAAAACATTATTGAGAAATTAGGAAATTGATTAAAATCAATTAAGGGCCTACGTTCGATTTGTGAGCCTCGACAAATAATCCGTTGCTGATAATACCGGCTCTAAATTTCAATCTTCGACGAACGTCTTAACTGCTTTAAATGAGACGCTTTATTTCCAATCAACGCCAAAATGATGTTTCTTCTTCTTCTTCGTTGTGTTTGTTTTGAAAGTTTTTCCATTGATTTTCATTTGAAATATTGTATGTTGATTTCGTTCAAACCGATTTTGTACGATTTAAACACACGTTCAATCGAATTTATTCCGTTTTATGTTGAATTTATTCGGATTTTGTGTATTCGCTTCAGCTTAAACCACATCAAACGGAGAACCATAATGTTTTTCAATGATCCAATGCATGCATTCAATTTTCTGCGTCACACATTCAATCTTCAGGCCGATACATTGAAATGATCATATTGTTCACTGATTATCTGGATGGTGTTTTAATTACTTTGATGTAGCAACAACACATACACAAATTAAATGGCCATTTCCACAAATGATTGCTCAGTGCTCAACGGAATAACTTTTTCCCGGCACCGATTTTCATTGATGTGTTTGTTGTCTGTAGGTGATAACTGTTAATGTTGCCATTTGATTAGAACGTGCATTGAGCCATTGGGCAGCTAACGCGCGCGCACACACACACACGCATCCGGCCAACGGAAACAAACAAGTTGCCTTTTGTTTTTGCTCTCTCTCACTCACTTTAACTTGGTCTGTGGTTTGATTGCAGGCCATTCAAGCTATATAGCGGCTTGAAGAAAAACCGTCTTACCTATCAAATGCAGAAAGCCAAAACCATACGACTAACACAATCATTATAACAATATACTATTCACACACACACACAAACCAAGATAGAGAGAGAGAGAGAGATTGTCCGGTGCGTCTTGTGCACCCTTCGCTCTATACATATTTAATGTTATCTATGCTAATTATGAGCGGAGAAAATATTGATGAGTTGGTATCAGTGGACATGACATGTAACAAATGTTTCCACGTGTTATTTTGGGTTGGCTGTTGCCAATGGCAGTCAGTTCAATGTGAAGTACATTGTGACTGATGTGTTTGAAATCTAATGAAGACGTATGGCTTTGTGAGACCGAGACACACACACACAGAGAGAGCGAGAGAAAGGGGAATCGTACGGATGGACACGGTTAGCACAAAGTTTTTGGGCTTGCAAAACATTGCTTGATTAGGGCAATCAAACTGGCTTTTGTAGATGGCAAGTGTGTGTCTCAATGATTGTTTTCCGTTATCAATCGCTTGATCGATACGACAATATTCATCAACTATAAACACGTACAAATTTTACTCAAACTTTCAATTCAAACCGTTGTTCATCTTTCCGTTGCGATGTTCGTTTCGGGTGAGAACTTCCTCTGTGACACAAGAGGGTGGGATTCAATGTATTCCATCACAATTTATACTCTTTCGGCAGGGCGAAAACTTCCGTGTCGCAAATTGCGAACCACAATGATAAATGACGAATTGAATTTCATTGATTCGAACGCAAGCTTGTTTTAGAGAGAGTTTCAACCGAAAATGTTTGAATTGAAATTTATTACCGGTTTTCTCATAATTTCCGTTCGAATCATTGAATTAATAGTCGCAAACTTTCGATACAATAGGAGCAGATATGACTTTTCAAGTGGACTGCCGAAACGGTCAGCATTTTCGATTGGATCCAATAAATGGTTCGTTTGGCTGGGTATTAGCACATATCTCTGGACACAAATTTCGAAAAATAAATGTAATTGGCTGCTTATAAATCATTTGAAATGTAATCATTCGGAAAAACACAGGGAGCGCACTGGTATGCCGCTCGTGAGTTTGACTAAATACCAAATCGCCTGCATTTTCTCATAACGGTGTGTGAATGCAACGCAATAAACCAAATAAATAGTGAAAAAATCCAAACGCTCCGCTGTGGACACAAAAGGGAGAATGGGGAACAAACAGCGAAAATTTCATTGAATCAAAAAGAGCTCTCGTTCTCTCTCTTTCTTTCGATGGAAAAAGGGACACTGTGATAGAGAACGAGCAAAAGAGAAACAGAGAAAGAAACAAGATGGCAGAGCTTCGCTTCGCTCCGCTCTGCGTTCTTGAGTTTTTAGTTACTTAATCTATTTTGTTGTTTCACAACAAACTATTTTTTGGCGCACTACATGAAATGTATTTCATCAAAGTAACTTTGAAGTAATATATTTATTCGCAAAATGAATTACAAGATCTTGGTTTATTTTCTTTTTTGAAATATACTGCCTTTGATTTTTAATTAATAAAATAATATGAGCATAAAATTCAAATTCACCATAATTTGTTTCAACACTCAAAAAGTATCTAGGGAAAAAAAGCAGATTAGTAGCTCTACATTTCATGTAGCGCAAAAAAAATATATTGAATCTCATCGATATTTCATGTAGGTTTTATTGTGCCTGTGCTGTTTGAACAAAATGAATTGGATATCCCAGTGATAGACAACATTTGCCCAGCGCACAATCAAATGCCATTAGTTCGACTAATTATCCGCGCGTTGTGAGCGAGTTTCGTTCCATTTTCCCGAGCATCACATCGGCTGAAGTGTGTACTCAAGAATGCATATTTATGCTATCGCATTTCATCCCAGACGGAAGCTGTGTGTGTAATGTGTGTATGGCCATTCTCGTACAGTCCGTCTCTCGTACACTAAATGCTCAATTAATTGCTATATAGTTTATGTAACTTAGTACGTTGTTGGAGTTTTTTTTCCCCTCATTTTTATGTTCTTTTCTCCGGCTTTCAACGCAAACAGCACCGACTTAAACACCAGACACATATTTGCTCTTCAAGCAAACAGAAACAATGCAATAGATTCACGAAAACGCCAAATGTCGAACTCAATTAATTGACTGCAATCGATTGTAAAATTGAATAATGTCTGCTTAATATCGCGTACCAAGTGAGTAACAAAAAGCAGTGATCCGAAGTCATTTAACTGCACAACACTGTTGGCTGTGTTACATGTACTTTTGTTTGCAAACAACTTGCGGAAAACGTACAAATCAAACTGCTCTGGAAAAACAGCAGCAGCAGCAGCAGTAGCATTAGTAGCCAACAAAAAACAAACAACAAATTAATATAAATGCTATTTTCCACTCGTGTTGAGAAATACAGAAGAAAGAAGGTCAATTTCGAATTGACTCCTTCTTGGCTCAACTTCAATTAATCGAAACGAGAAGCACCATCAGAAATGATGAGAAAAAAAGAAACTTAATTACTAATTTAATTCCGAAGACTTTTTTTTCCAAAATAAATTGTTGCAGTTTTTTATTTTTCGAATGGGATTTTTCTTCTTCAAGCAATGTTATTCGCCCAACGAATGATAATAATGTGAACTTGATCGCAACTTAAAATTCCCTATGAAATCAATCTCATTTTGCCTGAGAAAAGTTTTAAGCAGCAAAAAATACGGTTTTGCAGTAAAAAAAAACTATGATGGCTATCGAATTTCGATGGGAATCTCTTCTGAATTTCATTTTCGAAGACGAAAATGCATTCAAATCGCTCTATCGATTTATGACCCAGATTTCTATTTTTTTTCCGCTGTCATAATCGAAAACTTGATAATAACATTCAGAAAAAAGAAAATTGCCAACCAAAGAACAATGTTCAAGTGAAGAGTCGATTTTTCGTGTGTTTTGCATTAACAATGCAATTTTCTGGTTTAACCTTCGAAAGCATTCCATCGTGCGCGTTAGCGCCCGATTTTGGTTGACTGTGTGAAAACTGAAATGAAAGTATCAGAGACATGATTTGGCCGGCGGCATACATGAACCTGATTGATATGTACGTCACACGTGTGGCAGTTACTTGCAGCATCGATGCATTGTGCGCTCACGCGTATACGACACACACAGAAAAAAAAACTCATCTGTAATTTGATCGATAGAAAATTGCCACAATTTGAATATATCGCGCGAAAAATCAAGCCCGAATATTGGTGAATAACGTTGAGCCAGCCAGAGGCGCTGTTCATTCACTCGCCCGCACCTTCTTCTTGGATATATGCATATATTGTCATACATCGAACACGAAAACCATCGCTTTCTTGAAATAATTACATGAGTTTTTTGGATTTTGCTTGCAGGCAATTGACAGACAACGAAATTCACACCATTGAAAAGGACGCCTTCCAAGATCTCATCTCGATGGAACGACTGTAAGTATTCAAGTTTCCAAAATTCGTATTGTTGCTGTGTATTTTTTTGGTGTTTTCTTCTTTTTCTGCACACTTTATTGGTGGCTGATGATTTGAATCGGTGCCAGATCACTGAAAATTCGATTAAAAAAGCATGAAAAAACACGCACCAAGCAAAAAAAATGGTCTTGAGTTTTTCTTAATATATCACATAAGTTTTAATTACAAATTTTATGCGGAATTTTTTTCTCGTCTTTTTCGTTGGAACTTGAAATTTATTTGTGAATCGCTTTGAAAATTTGCGTGCGTAGTTTGAAATGGGATTTTCTGTTTCAAAGTGTATTCGGTTGACATTTTGTGTGTGTGTGTGTGTGTGCGCGCTGGTTTGAGTAAATAAATCGCTTGAACGAAGAAAAAAACGGAATGGAAAAAGAAATAGAAAGAGGCATAATAGCGATTTTGGCGAGACCAACCACCAAAAAGATGTTTATCATTCGTGAGTGTGTTTTTTTTCTCGTTAATTCGATTTAAGGATACGCCTTTCGTATTTTGCGGCCAATTTGTGCCTTTAGTCGCTCGATTGAATGATAAACGTCTGGTAAATGACAACCGAATCCACTCAATTTCCGATGATTTGGCATCAATTCGGATATGTTTTTTTTTATCTCATTTCTAGAACTTTTCACATTATTTTTGTTTGAACGTAATCTAATTTTATTTTTGAATCTTCTTTTTTCTTTCTCTCCTTTTTTTATATCGCGTGCATTTCTGCCAATTTGTTTGGATTGTTTTTGCATTTGAAAAAAAAAATTACTTTTGCGGTTGTTGTCGTATAATATCACAATTTGTATTTTTTTTTACCCTTTTGCTGTGACTGAATGAAACACAAAACATATTTCACACGCTTCTTTCGTTCTGTGTTCTGCTCTGGCACTTTTCAAAGGCGTCTCAATAACAATCGCTTGAAGGCTGTTCCAGATAATTTTCTCGGAAACGCAGCAAACCTATTGCGATTGTAAGTGTGTTGTTTGATTTTAGTTTTGCATTTAAGTTTTCGTATTTCATTTTCGGCGTAGAGCCTTTTTTGTAATGTTAGAATTTAGACATTTTGTTTAGAGCTTATCCTATTTACATTATTTCAATCATAATTTATTTTTTTTTTAATTCTGATCGATATAGATTCTGAAGACTTTGATAGATCTTAAAGATTGTCTGATAGATTTTAAGTACTGAATTTGAAATTCGATTCGAATTTTCTAAATTAATTTTTTGAGACTTGTTTGTTTTGACGAATTTCACTTGCACCATTAAATTTCCTCAATCAAATGCATGTGTTTGAGATACTTTTGGCAGCATGCGTTTGCCAATTGGCCTATTGAAAATCGTTGATATCTTTTTGTAGAAACTAAGATCATATAATTGTTATGAAATAAATTTGATTGCAATTTTTTTTAGATTTAGACAGAAAAAAAAACAATATTTGAAAAAATACAATAACTCTACATTTCATGTAGTGCTAATAAAAAATACTTGAACAGAAAAATATTTTAAACGCAATCATAAGCGGGAATCGAATCTAAAACTCATTATTTTCGTAATTTCAACAGAGATTTATCGCATAATCAGTTGCAAATCATCGGTCGAAAGACATTCAAAGGTGCCACATCGTTGCGTAGTTTGCAGATAGATAACAATGAAATCACATGTTTGGATGAGCAAGCTTTCCGAGGCTTGGGCGAACTGGAGATTTTGTAAGTAACAAAAGAGATTTAAAAACCATTGAAACATTATTATGAATGGAAGAAGTTCGATTGCATGGATGAACATTGAATTTCTACTGTCTCTTCCATGAATTCAAAAAATTTGACATATTTTTCTCACTTTTTTCCCTATTGTTAAAGAGAAGAAAAAAAAATCTGAGTAAAAAAAACTTCAATTCAATGTATGTCATATCATCACTCTTTTCATTCACAGGACATTGAACAATAACAACATCACTGCGTTGCCGCGTGAAATTTTCAGTGGAATGCCGCGAATTCGTGCATTACGCTTATCGGACAATCCATTTACGTGTGATTGTCACTTGTCGTGGTTGTCGCGGTATTTGCGTAATTCACCGCGTCTCGCACCATACACACGATGCCATTCACCCAGCCAGTTGAAAGGTCAAAGTTTGGCTGAACTGCACGAACACGATTTTAAATGTTCAGGTAAGTTGTAGTAAAAATTATGCGATGAAATGCTCGACTATTTCGCCACCCATATCATTCGAAACCAAAAATTGATGCAGTTCATTGTATCACCAGCAGATTGACAATCCGATCAAGTCAATGAACCAACAAGCATCGATGAAATGAAATACACAAAAAAAACTCCATTCTTTTCATTTTATCAAGCCCAAATGAAAGGTCAATTGATTTTGAATCAGTTTCAATCAATTGTGATGTGGATTTGATTATGTTCGTTCAGTAGCAGATCAATCAGTGGGCGATTGTGTATGCAATAAAAGACCCATCATATGCATTCCACTCACTTACTCATTTACTCAGGCACAAAAGCTGAAATGAATTTTTGATTTTAATTAAATTTCATGACGACGACGACGACGACGATGCAATAAAACAAAACTCTTTTTTCCTCGTATGGAAACAATCAACGTCATTTGATACACAAGTGACCATTTGACCCAGCACATTCTATTTTTGAGTGTATGCTTATTGACAATTGAAAAATAATTAATTTTCATGGAAATCAATTTTTCAGCAGATTTCGCTCTCTAGATTCAATTAATGTTTAATTAACGATGTCAAACACTTGCCAAACATCAAAATTGCAGGATTGTGACAATGTTGACGCGATTTCCCGGATATCTCAAAAAATGATGATAGTTAAATTGAAGAAAAAAAAATTGTCATAAAATCAAATTTATATGAATTTGTTGTTGTTCGTTACAGGTTTAACGGAAAATGCGCCTTTGGAATGTGGAGGTACGAGTACTTGTCCACATCCGTGCCGCTGTGCTGACGGAATTGTCGATTGCCGCGAGAAAAGTCTAACAAGTGTGCCATCCGAATTGCCGGAAGAAACAACTGAACTGTAAGTGTTTGTTGCGCGTTAACAATTTTTTTCTTTTCTTTTCATTTTTTTCCTTCATCGGAAACACAAACATAATTGCAAATTCAAATTATAAATTGAAATCCCACACACTCAATTTTATTTTCTTTGGAATTTACATTTAAATTGCTTTTCTTTTCTTTTCTTGTCTTGTCTTGTCTTGTCTTGTCTTGTCTTGTCTTGTCTTGTCTTGTCTTCACACAGACGTTTAGAACAGAATTTCATTACGGAAATTACACCGAAAGCATTTGCAAATTTCAAGCGATTGCGTCGCATCGATTTATCCAACAATAATATCTCAAGAATCGCACACGATGCATTCACCGGATTGAAATCGTTGACCACACTGTAAGTACCGACAAAAAAAACTCATTTCCCCAAACCTTTAATCATCTTTATTCGGATGGAGCGTTGGTGGCGTTCTGTTTGTGAAAACTTTTACCTAGCCACACAGAAAACCATTCAAATCCACAAATTATTTTTTATTCATTCCAACAATTTTTGTTCTAAAATCCATTTTTCCGCCTCCCCAACAGTGTTTTATATGGCAACAAAATAAAAAATCTGCCAACAAATGTGTTCCGTGGATTAACATCGTTACAATTGCTGTTGCTGAATGCAAACGAAATCTCGTGCATTCGAAAGGACTCGTTCAAGGATTTAACCAGTTTGAGTTTATTGTCGTTGTACGATAATAATATTCAATCGCTATCAAATGGAACATTCGATTCGATGAAGAGCATCCAGACGCTGTAAGTACATTACATAAATACACACTCATTCGACTCACTCACCAACGACAAAGGGAAATCCATAATCAATGCATAAATGTAAAGAAGTATAATCGTACCTACATATTTGCAATTATGTTGCGAAACAAAATGTCGTTTCTCAGCATAGTTTCGGAACACTTGGCGAAGCCATCGGGCTCTGCCATCGCACGCAATAAAAAGAAGAGATAATACACAGAAAATTTCGATTCAATGTTTGACTTAACGTCGATTGCGAATCGTGCAAAAATGCGAATATAATCACAAAATAATTCACTTTTCTCTCTCACTCTATGCTATCTCTTCTGTCGTCGCTTTGATGCAAATTGTTCAAAGTTTGAATATTTGTCTCTGATAAAATCCAGCTTATGTCTTTTCACTTTGTGCAAGAAGCGATGATTTTTTTCCACTCGTTCCTTTTGAAAGGCAGTCGACATTCTCTTGATTTTATTCGATGAATTTCAAAAGTATGTTTGTTATTATAATTGTAATAATAAATTCTTCATTCGATTCAATTTTTTTTGCCCGCTTCGGAACGTGATTTGCTGAACACGCGCGCAGACATTTGGCACGAAATCCATTTATATGCGATTGTAATTTACGCTGGTTGGCAGATTATTTGCATAAAAATCCCATTGAAACGAGTGGAGCACGATGTGATGCACCGAAACGCATGCATCGAAGACGCATCGAAGCATTGAGGGATGAAAAGTTTAAATGTAAGTATAGTTGTTTTTTTCTCCATCTCTTCTTCGAAATTGAATTCAGTTGCAATCAAATCAAATCGAACATTTGTTTCACTCCACCTCCGTCGTAATGGACGTGTTGCGACGGAGGGGGGATGTGAGTAAATGTAGTGACAAGTGATTAACATGATTCTACGTGTTTCTTTTTCACTCTTACAGGTAACAATGATTATCGAACACGTGACATTTCTTGTCGAGTCGATACCGAGTGCCCTGCTGCCTGTCACTGCGAACGAACTACGGTTGATTGCTCGGCACGAGGTCTTAAAGAAATCCCACGGGATATACCACTTTACACCACCGAACTGTAAGTGTAACACTTTCTACTCGTTTAACACACCCAGACCCACAGCACACACACACACCCCGACACCAATCGGAGAATCAATTGTGCCACAACTATGTAACTAATTATAAATTCATGTTCGATTCTCATGCTCTTTTCTCTCTCTCTCTCTCTCTCTCTCTCTCTCTCTCTCTCTCTCTTCTCGCAGATTATTGAACGATAATGAATTGGGCCGTATCAAATCGGATGGTTTGTTTGGTCGACTGCCAAATCTTGTGAAATTAGATTTGCGTCGCAATCAAATTACCGGCATCGAACCCAATGCTTTCGAAGGTGCATCGAAAATTCAAGATATGCTCATATCGGAGAATAAAATCACCGAAATCCATAATAAGATGTTCTTGGGACTGCACAATCTTAAATCATTGTAAGTATGCCAAATGGAGAAAAAAAGAGACGAAGTCAAACTCATGAGCTGTATTAGCATGTCTGAATTATTCACATTCGTATTTCTCTCTATCTCACTTTTTTCCAAGGTCATTGTACGATAACAGCGTTTCGTGTGTTATGCCCGGCTCATTTGACTACTTATCCTCGCTTCACACATTGTAAGTTTTTCAACTTGAATGCATTTGGATGGGAACTTGAGATTGATTTGATCTGACTTTTGAAATCGCATTGTGTCGACATGCATCAATGGCATTCCGTTCGATACAAATATTTCTATTAATCAGATCAATGGTAGTTCACTTGCGCTAATGAATGCTAAATATCTTGTGAATTTTCGTGAAATTTCAGGAATCTTGCATCGAACCCATTCAACTGTAACTGCCATTTAGCATGGTTCTCGGATTGGTTGCGTAAGCGCGGATTTTCTGGTGCAAACTGTGCCGCACCAGCTAAAGTTCGTGATGTTGCAATTCGTGATTTGCCACCACATGAATTCAAATGTCTTAGCGATGCGGACGAAGGTTGCTTGGGCGAAGGCTATTGCCCACCAACGTGCACATGCACTGGAACGGTTGTTCGATGCTCACGAAATAAACTCAAGGAAATTCCACGCGGCATTCCAGCCGAAACATCGGAATTGTACTTGGAATCGAATGAAATCTCAATGATCCATCAGGATCGTATCAGCCATTTGAAATCGTTGACAAGATTGTAAGTCGAAAGAAGAAACATTCAATTTTTGTACAATTTTAGAAGAGTAGATTTTTTCTTCAATAATAATTTGTTTTTACAAAAAATATTCGTCAATTTCGCCATAATATTCTGATAAAAAATCGATTTGTCATCAATGATTTTGTAATCAATCAAATTGTTATTATAGTCTGCACCCACTAAAATTTACTTCATTTCCGTCCACTTTGCAGAGATTTAAGCAACAATCAAATATCAGTTCTATCAAATTATACGTTCGGAAATTTGACTAAGCTTTCCACATTGTAAGTATTGATTATCTTCCCTTAAGCCCTCGAAGCTAGTTGAAATCCACAGTATTTTAACATTCATAACATAAATCCGATTTCAAACTCTTCTAAACCATTTTTTAGGATCATAAGTTACAACAAATTGCAGTGTGTTCAGCGGTACGCTTTGACTGGTTTAAAGAATCTACGTGTATTGTCGCTGCATGGAAATCAAATATCGATGATACCTGAAGGCACGTTTTCGGATTTGCAAGCCATTACGCACATTGCATTGGGAAGCAATCCATTGTATTGTGATTGTTCGTTGCGTTGGCTATCGGATTGGGTGAAGTTGGACTATGTTGAACCGGGAATTGCCCGATGCCAAGAGCCAGAATCGATGCGCGACAAATTGTTGCTATCAACGCCATCCAATCAATTCCAGTGCAAGACCAAAGTTAGCGATGAAATTCTGTCGAAATGTGATGCTTGTTTCACATTCCCATGCCAGAATGAGGCCGTGTGCCAAGCACGAGCCGAACGCCAATATGAATGTGTTTGCAAGCCTGGCTATCATGGTAAGCATTGTGAATTCATGATTGACGCTTGCTATGGAAATCCATGCCGAAACGGAACGTGCACCGTGCTCGAAGAAGGCCGTTTCAGTTGTAATTGCATGGCTGGCTATACTGGTTCACGCTGTGAAATGAACATTGACGATTGCAGCGAAAACAAATGCGAAAACAATAGCACATGCATCGATGGTGTGGAATCGTATACGTGCCAGTGTCCATCCGGATTCTCGGGACAATATTGTGAAACGAAAATACCATTCTGTACGGAATTCAATCCATGTAAGAATGGCGCTAAATGCATTGACCATTTCACACATTATTCGTGCGAATGTGCACCAGGCTATCGAGGGGCCAATTGCACTGAAGATATCGACGATTGCCAAAATCACATGTGCCAAAATGGTGAGTTTTTGTTTCAAATACCTAAATTTTTGCTAGTTTCATCATGAAGAAAATCGGAACTGTTGAACATTTTATGATTTTTCTTTTGATTCAATATGAAATGATAATCTTTTCTTTGTTCCCTTTCGTTTCGTCAGGTGGAATTTGCGTGGATGGCATCAATGATTATATTTGCAAGTGTCCAGATGAATACACTGGCAAATTCTGTGAGGGAACACCGATGGTCGCCATGATGTATCCACAAACATCACCATGTCAACATCACGAATGTAAGCATGGTGTTTGCTTTGTACCGAATCCACTTTCATCCGAATACATTTGCAAGTGTGTACCTGGCTACTCGGGCAAGCGATGCGAATATTTGACCAGCATTAGCTTCGTCCAGAATAATTCATTCGTTGAAATGGAACCGCTTCGAACCAAACCAGAAGCAAATGTCACGATTATTTTCAGTAGCTCACAACAAAATGGGGTAAGTTTCCGTTTTCACAGAAGAGACATGTTTTTTGTTTGTCTTTTTTTTGCCTACTTCTCTCCGACCATCCAAATTTGTGTATCTCTTTTTAAACCCAAAATTTTGTGCGCTTTTAACTCTTTTCGAATGGTTTTACTAATTTTCTGGTTGTTTATGGTAGGTACTGTTGTACGATGGCCAAAATGAGCATTTGGCCGTTGAGCTTTTCAACGGCAGAATCCGAGTGAGCTATGACGTTGGCAATCACCCAGTTTCAACAATGTACTCGTTTGAGGTATGATTCAAATCTATTCTTTCTTTTTTGTTATAGAAAAACCAATCACTGACCAAGAATCATTTAAAAACGATTTCAATTTCTGTTAAATAGATGGTGGCCGATGGAAAATATCACATGGTCGAATTGCTTGCAATCAAGAAGAACTTTACGTTGCGTGTTGACCGTGGATTGGCTCGATCGATCATAAACGAGGGTAGCAAGGATTACTTGAAACTATCGACACCGCTATTTGTGGGTGGATTACCAATGGAATCCGGGCAGCAAGCGTACAAAAACTGGCATTTACGTAATTTAACCAGTTTTAAGGGATGCATGAAAGAGGTTTGGATCAATCACAAGCAAGTCGATTTTGGTAATGCGGCCAGACAACAGAAGGTGACACCGGGCTGTGCACTACTTGACTCCGATTCCGATAGCAACGAACAAGAGGAAATGGAGGTGATGCAAGAGACACAACATGTGGTCAGAGAAGAGGTACGTGATCTATTTGAAATATTTAGTTTTTCTATAGAATTTCTGATTTGATTTAATTTCTTTTTACAATAAAATTTAACTTAAAAAATGAATTCCCATTTCCGTTGCAGGTTGACCCATGCAGCGAGCATAAGTGTCGTCGTGGTAGCATTTGTGTTGCAAATAGCAATGCAAAAGAGGGCTACTCATGCCGATGCAAAATCGGAACGCGTGGAAAGTATTGTGAGCAAGGTGAGGGATCCACACCGAGCAATCCCATCACTGGTACACTACATTTGACTAATACAATCATTTTATCTGCATTCATTTGCGAATAATTGTGAAAATATAACAAAAATAACTCAAAACTGTCAAAAGAAATCGTTTGCTTTGGTGGTGGTGGTTATGAACCGCTTTTTTCATTCTTGGCATTTCATTTGACCAATTTCTGTTTCTTTTCACAAATGATTATTATTCGGGAAATGCTTGCGCTCTTTATCTTTCTCTCTCTCTCTCTCTCTCTCGCAATGACATTTGTATCGGGAAAAAAATGTAAACACTAATTGGCTTGTCATGATGTCAACGGTGTTGTTAACGCTAGCTCCGAACACGTTGCACAAATAAGAGAGTTAGAGAGTATTAAATTAAATGAGACGCTTTTTTCCACTAACGCCATGTCATTTTCCATTTTTCCATTTTCTGCAGCAACAACGTCAACATGCCGCAAAGAGCAGGTTCGCGAGTACTACACCGAGAACAATTGCCGTTCGAGACAGCCGCTCAAGTACGCAAAATGTGTTGGTGGATGCGGTAACCAATGTTGTACAGCAAACATAACACGTCGCCGAAAGGTTCGAATGGTGTGCGCCAACAACGCAAAATATGTTAAGACATTGAACATAGTACGGAAATGCAGTTGCAGCAAGAAATGCAACTGACTGCACGATGCGGCTACCCAAAATGAAAAGAGTGAGTCGAATATCGGCTCGATCTCAGTGCGAGCAGATAAACGAGAAGATGAAGAAACAGAAAAAGAAAAACAAACAGAAGAAAACATTGATTCAATGAAACAAACAAATAGTTATACATATAATAGTTTTAGTAGTAGTGGTAACCTAAACATCGATTATGAATACGAATCGCATACGAAAATCGATTCAAAAAAGACAATTAGTAACGGTAATAACAAAGATAACAATAATAATGACGATGGTGATGGTGATGGTGATGTTGATGATGACGATGAGGTGGTAAAAGAGTCAACAACCGAATATAAACAACCAATTGAAACGACCGAACAGAGACAAATCGAAACGACCGAGCACATCGAGCCCCTCGATCATATCGAAGTTGATCAATTGTATATGGACGATGGTGCGGCGACCGAAGAGAAAACACCAAGTACCGAAGATTTTCACGACGACGAACCAGACGGTGATGATTCGGTACGATTGGGAATGTTACGCAGTCGTACATTCTTCCCCGACGATGAGGACGACGACGACGATGATGATGATGAAAAGTCGGGTGGTCGCGTTGAGCATAGTGGCGGCGGCGGAATTGACAAATATGGCGATTATGAAAATGATAACGCGCAAAATCGTGATCGTTCCGATCGACTATATAAACATAAAAATAGCTTTAGCGATGATAAGGGTAAAACGCATGAAAATGACGATTTCGATCGACATCCATATCAATCGAGCAAATCAGACACAAAAGATGCCATCAAAATAATATCCACACCGTTGGGCAAAGTGTCGATTATTTATCAATCGAATACAAACAACAATAACAACAGCAGCACTGCCACTGCCAATAGCAATGATGGTAAATTAAAATCGTTTGATAATTCGAATCAAAATAGCATGAATAAATTTAAAAATTTCTATAGTCACAATATTAATGCCGGTGCTAAACAAAATGCCACCGCTGCCAATTCGCATCGAACGATCAAAAATCAACATCATCGACACAATCATCATTATCATCAACAGTCCGCCTCCATACCGGCTGTAAACGGTGCCATAGATACGGCAGCATCAAAAGTCCGAACAAATCCGATCAATGACAAAACAAAATTACTTCAAAAGCAAATTACGCCCGTGCTGACGGCCGACGGTAAAGTGGCCCTACTTTATCGAGGCGGTCAAGATACAAATACTCCGCATAAAATTGAAGTGGGCAAAAACCTTACCGATTTCACACAAAGTGTAAACAGTCAAGAGAGTGTAATTAGTGGCAAAATGAATTATAATATTGTCAGCGAAAATGAACCAAAGCTTCCGGATGGCATACCACCACTTGAAGCGATCGCCAATCAAACGGACAAAGTGGTTGGCACCAGAAATATGGAAAAATTGGCGGTGATTGTAGCTGCTGAAACGACAACAACTACAACACGCACCAAACTCACAACATTCACACCAGTTGCGAATACCGAACGGCCCGTTCTCAAACTGTTTAAATCCAGTGAGAACACAAGTCGCAATGCGAACGAAGAGGAAAATTCCATTTTGCCAAATATTAATCGACCACCATCCGAAGTGTTGGGCATTAAAAAGAATCAATTCACACAGTTCCGTATCACGGACATGATTGCAACAGCCACACCAACGCTCACCAATCAAGATGTCACCGAAAAAACGCCCGTGTCATACGGCAATGAAGTTCCAAAAGCGATCGATTCGTTGAATAACGAACACGATTCGCATGGGCCAGATGGAGGTGGCGGTGGATTTGGTTCAAACATTGACTATGATTACAATGCAAATCGTGAGATTGGTTACAATGGACCGAATCATTTTGCCACACCATCGGTTGATTTTGCCGCCACATCACATGGATTCGATGATTCGACCACCATTTCAGATGTTCTATCGAAAGCCGAAGTGGTCAATTTGGCCATAATACCGGCGTTTGAAGGTGATTTACATCGTTTCCATGAACAACAACAGAACGATGTATCCAATGACAATAATCCATATTTCAATATGATGGATCGTGATGACGGTGGCAGCGAAGCGGCTGTGGCTGGCAAACAGCACAAGCATCGACATCATAAAATGCAAGATTTATCGGCCTTACATTGTGCGATGCAAGCATTGGTTGCCATTGCCGCACTGGCCACCGTATTCGGTATGCTGGGCGCCTATTTCAAGCAACGAATCTTGGATCAGCTCACCATAATGCATTGGTGAGAATTAATGGGTATTCGATTTTGGATCGCACTCAATCGACGGAGTGGCATGTTCGTTTAAATTGCTTGCAATCAATGCAAACGATTTAAACACGATCTTATGTTTGGATAAATGAGAATTTTATCGATTTCTTTTTTTTTCGTATGGTCGATTCCGATTTGAACTGATCGAAATTTTTGATTATGTGGAGAAAAAATCGACTAAATAATTCGACATTTGCGTGATGATCGTAAAGTAACATGCGAAATGCGACACTTTTCGCAGCTGATAACTCGATTCTGGTTGAGATTGAATGTAGAATCGACTTTTGAATCGGATCTATAGTTCAATTTAGGTCCCATTCAATAGTTGAATTCAACTTGAATTCAATTTTTTCTGGATTTTTTCATTTTAAAATTTTCGACTCATCGAATTTTTTGTTCAAATTCCATCCAAATGAAAAAAAAATCCAGTTGATCAAACCGAATCGAATTCAGTTGTCCGTTGGGCGGAAAGTGCCATTTCCGGGAAATCCAGGTACACAAATCGAGTACCCAGTCAAATAAACCTATTAAACATAAACAAACAAAAAAAACAATTTAATAATCTAATTTAAGATGTTTAAAACAAATAACTTAAACGTATATGTTTGAAATTCATTTTAAATGTGCATTAAATTTCTGTTGAACCATTTGAAAGAGAGAGAGAAAGAAAAATAACAAGAAGCCAGAACGTATGTAGAATGTAGGGCGATTGAAGTAAACGCATAACTGCTAAATAATAATAGTGGAGGCAAACAAAATAAACCCAAAGCCTAATAAACCAGAGGCCAGAACCTAAACTGATAAATGGAAGAAGAAGAAAAAAAAAACCATATGAAATTTGCCAATGGAATATAAATGTATATCAAATTTAAAGAAATAAAAAATGCCTCAATTAGCTATGCACTCCACTGAGAATAATGTAGTCGAAAGAACATTACCCTGAATTGACGACATGTTTAAATAAATGTATAGATACTTCATATGAAAAAAAAAGAAACGAAATGAACGAGAAGAGCAAAGAAAAATAAAAAAAATGAGTAAACCCGAACTGTGACCAAAACAACAACAACATGAACAAAAAAAAACAATTATTGACCATATTAATCTATCTATATTTATGAACAAAAAAAAGTATATTATCGTAACTTCTAAAGTAACTAAAAAAAACGACGAAAACTCAATCACACATAACAAAAAGAAAACAACACACGAATTGATTGCCACTTATCGTATTTACCAAAACCATTACTACTAAAACTATTACGTACCAACTACTAACTTATTAATTATGACCAAATCAACCTAACAAAAAAAAAACAAATGAGAAGAAGAAAGTCTTTTTAGTGAGAAAAAGAGAGAAAAATTTCTGTTTCTGTTTCCCCATCAAAAAAAAACAAATCGAACGACAAATTGAATCACTGTGTAATTACGTAGATAAAACAAAATCAAACTGAGAAGGGTAGCCGCATGAATTTATTTAATTTTAACAACAAATGTTTCCCCAAAAACAATTGCAATCCGTGCAAACGGACACATGAGTTAATATATTTTAAAAGAAAAAGAGAACCGAATTGAAAGAAGAAAAACAACCGCAAAACTAGCAGCAGCTAAAAATGCTGATAATTACCGTGTTCCAATTCCAAAATTGGTTTAGCGAATAGATGAAAACAAAAGAAAAACACACGCAAGAACATATGCATTTGTTTCGCCATTTTCTTTATAGGATAGTATATTTTTTCTATTTTCGTTATTACTCCCCCTCCTCCTCCCCCGCCCAGAAAAACAAAATTAGTATTGGAATAATTATTTAATTTGTATGCGTTTAAGTTGTCAATATTTGCCACAGTCTACAAATGAATCTATCAGCTCCAATGTGTATGTGTTTAAAATCACACGATTTCTTCGGTCACTTTGGATCAAACATTTATCACTCATACCGGTGTGTGGCGTCCCAAGCGCCACATTTGCGGCCGAACAGTAAAAAAACAACGGTTTGGATAAATGTTCGGTCCAAAGCAAGAAAATCAATGCTATATATTTAAGAGAAAACAAAAATCAATATGAAGTAATTTATTTTTTAACAAACACAAAATAAAAAGCATCAAAATGATCGAAATCTGTCATGTTATAAAATATACGTACAAACACGAGAAAAAAAAACATTTACATTTCGAATTGTCATCAAATCTGTTAAACGTTCTCATTTGCGAAATGAAATTGAACGAATACGAATATAGATACACACTCACAGCCCATAAAAACTCACTTTGTTTTATTCCGTTGCGAACAACTCGCTGGAATAATTAATCGAATTTAGTTTACGGGTTCCGATCATCATCATAACAAATATACTGCAAATACAAATATTAGTGTTCCGTAATTAATATCAACACTCTATACTCTTCATCATCACACAGGAAAAGCGAAAGAAATAAAAAAAAACAAAACCTCATTAACAATTCTACTGCAAAATCCAATAATTTCTTTTTGATTTTCATCAAACCGAGAAACAAAAACCATTTGATTTTAACGCATTTTATTGATGATATTTCTTTTTCTTTCTTTTTAAATCTCTATTCTGTTCATCAATTTTGATTTTCAATTTTCGAGAACTCGCAACTTCGATTTTCTTGCAATTTCGTTTTCTTTCATTTTTTTTTAATTTTTTCGACAATAGAAATTACAAATTACTAATTTATTTATATACACGATGTAAAATTGGAATTTTACGCAAAAAAAAAACAACAACTAAAAATATAAAGATTTTATATTAGATGTAAAATGAAACAAATCGAATTAAAAATAAATAAAATTTACAACAACAATTATCATTTTTGAGATGGTTTTATCTTCTTATTTTAACCTGTTGCATTCAATGTGAATCCACCATGTTTATTTCAACAGTCCATGAACGGGCTATTGTTGACACTTGTTCTTACTATGACCATACCGAATTGAAAACGGGTAGGGCGACTATCATTCCATAACTTACTATACTGTATACATATCGTGCGTAATTTTTTTCAAATACTCAGACCAAATGGATGCGAGCTTGAAATTATTCCTAAGAAATAAAAAAAAAATTCAGGGATTGACGGTTAATCATCGACCAAATCGTTCATCATGAGACTCAACGAGTTTATTTTATGGTCCGAATTGACCAATTAATTATATGGATAACGATGTATTTAGACAGTCTAAGTTAGACTTGAGATCGCTCCTAGTTTGCTGCAGCCATTGATCATGGTCGAATGTTGCAATGGGGTTTGAGTATTAAATTCCAGGTGAGATCAAAAGTTGTTTTTCTCAAAGGTGCAGCACCGATGTTGTTGTACGAGGTATTAAATGCGTGCTGCGATATAGAAGAATGGTAATAATATGGATATCTTTTCGATTGACAATAGCGATGTCATGGATTTAGATTTATATTGGGATGTCGATACCCACCCACAAATTAATACCTATTAGCATGAACATAACGCCATGGGATACATCAGAAGCGGTTCGATTGAATTGAATACGTTCAGATTGTTGTACTTAGAAATCTATGAAATGAACTGATTTCATCGGTGAAAAAGTTGATACATGAAATACGGGATTCTTTTCGAAATCGAACTAAAAGTTAGCGAATACAAGTTGCTTCCTTATCTAAATTTGAAATCATGGTCGGATAATTACAATGTTTCCAAAGATTTAATTTTATTTTCAGCTGTAACAATTGCTCCGAACAAAAACTGTACAATATCATTTGTATGACGATTGAAGTCCATATCAACACATTCTCTGCAAGCGATTCGCTCTTTCCTCTCATGATGGATTCGTGTTCTCTTTTGTTATGCTATTTGCTAAAATGTAACCAGACGATCTCAGTTGTAGTTTCGAATTTCTGGAGAATGTGTAGCTGATTTGTCCTTCAATCCGAATCCAATCCAATCTTTTTAGATCATTTCGTACGAAGTCAAGCAGCGATGGTTCTCGAATTAAAATCCTATGGTTTTCAGCTACGTAAATGCCAGCGCTCACACCTCCCCTATTGAAAAAAGAACATATGTTTTCCATTTTACTTTGCGCATTTTTGGTATAAGAATTTGAATGAAATATACTTGGTCGTATGATGTGTGGTCATTGTAAAAGCGCTGTGGTGTCTGGTATTTTCAATATCAGAATAGATTTGTGAACAAAGTTGCACATGATTTTTATCCGACTGAATATCCACAGATTTGGGTAAAAATTCCAATTCACCAGTCTTAATGACAATTTTCTGTCGCAGCTTCTTTTCCTCTGTCCAATAATTCTGGGAACATATTCTTCCGATGAGATGAACTCGCTGCCCAGCTTCACATCTCATCGTTGTGCCTGTTCCAACCATATGATAAAAACTATTGAAAGTTGATGGGATTATTGAATTACCAACAAAATTTAAAAAAGACAACATCTAGACTGGTACATACTATTTGTTGTCCAGCTCTTTGGTTTGAAGAATCAGCATCTTGTAACCGGATGGTAAAGTGAATAGATGCTTGTGAATTTTGCCAATCAATTCTACGGTATTGACTGAAATGGAAGAGTTTTTTTTAAATGAACTTTTTCACATTCAAAAGCATTGTAAATATTTTAAAAAATACCCAAAAAAAGAATCATTTTTGGAAGGTATAACTTAGAAATGTATACGGTATGACAGAGTTACCTTGTTGCGGCTTTGATGAATTTTCGCTCGAAATGAACAGTCGAACTGAGTTTCGTCTGCATTCAGCAGGAAGTAAGAGGGAATTTGACCTGAACACTATTCGAAACATTTTATACGATTTTTCTTCATAAAAGAATTCGAAATGAAAAAACTAAATAGAAACACTCAGTTCGGTGTGTTTACATTTTGAACTGAAAACATAACCTAGATACACGAGAAATGTCAAAAGTCAAAAGTCAGGTACTTTTCTATGAGAGGGAGACACTGATACGAAACCCTAATGGTTTTTAACAAGTACCATCCTTCAGAAGACAGTTGTCTAAATTGGAGCCAAATCCGACCATTAGTTCATGAGTTATAGCACTTTGAAGTAACCAACCTCCAAACATTTGTGTAAACATGGAAAAAAGTGAATTTCGTGTGTTGATTAAACACTATTTTTTGCGTGGAAAAACCATCGCTCAGACCGAAGTGGCGCTTAAAAAGTATTATCCGGACTCCGCACCATCTCATAAAATGGTCCACAAGTGGTTTACTGAATTTAAGTGTGGTCGCACAAGCACCGAAGACGCAGCTCGCTCAGGTCGTCCAAATGAGGTTACTACCCCAGAAATGATAGACAAAATACATGATCTGGTGTTAAATCATCCGGAAATTAAAGTGCGTGAGATAGTTGAGACTGTAAACGTCTCATATGAGCGGGTGCTTAACATATTGCATGAACATCTGCATATGGATAAGCTATGCGGAAGATGGGTGCCGCGTTCGAAAGAAGAGGAAGTATGAAGAAGTCGAGTTAGAAACAGATAGCTATTTTGGGACATTGGACAAATCGTTGGGCTCGCTGTATCGAGCTAAAAGGAGCCTATGTTGAGAAATAAAATGAAATTTTGCGAAAAAAACGTATTTTCATTCAAAAAGTACCCGACTTTTCAATCCACCTAGTACAAGTCGTCTAATTTTATTTTCATCAAAGCAGTTTTGGTCATCGCAAGAAACGCAGCGAACATTGAAATCGAACGAATTGTTTGGTTTTGTTGGAAAAATAGTTGCAATTTTGGTTTCTTAACTGTTTGCTCAATTGGTGGATACCATTTTAAGTGCTCTAGTTTTGGGAATTTATGGGTGAGCCATTCATCATCAACGTCGGTGCCACGAATTTTTAATTTTTTACGTTCGAACAAAGTCCAATCAAACTTTCCAGCAGTGATCCTTTCAGTTTACAATTAAACAAGTCAACATATTCTATTTTTTTTAGTAGTTCCTTCGGCATCATGAATGCTTCCAAGTCAGGCAAACATTTTCGGACAGTTCGTGCTTATGAAAATGGCCAGCCACTCGTTGCATTCGCGTACACGTTTGTACAAGGGAATTTAGATCTTCGATCGATAGATAATCAAACAACTTTTCGAAGCAATCGACGTTCAGCTTGAAGATTTGTGGTGATGACTCAATGGGCGCAGTTTGTCGGTATTCATTTGCTCCGTTTGCCTGTTCGCCACCGATGTTTTGTTGATCCATTTTGATGTGGTGTGGTCCTCAGTTGTAGACAAATTGAGCGACGTAATCGACAATAGTGGATCCTTACCAAAGTTTCGCCTCAAGAAATTGTGAAAAACTGACTCAGCGGCTTGAAATGACGTCGTATAGTTCTGTGTTGGTGATCGTTGCACGAATACGGGACGAAATCGTTTGTGTGGCTGTGTAATTGTGTGATGTGTGATTGTGTTGTTGTTTCACAACAGAGCGTATGTATAATGGTTGCAAACCAAATGCCCAACTAAACAACGACCGGTTAACGGTGATTTTGACAGATAGTTTGGCGTTCAACGAATCGGTTGAAATTGAGACAACCTTTATGAAGCATTAAGCCGCATCGTCAAACTGTCAAATAAGGAAAAAGTAATGCTTGTTTCATACGACCACCCTTTGCATAAATCAATGCGAACCACATTTACATATACAATTTTTATTTCTAGAAATAGTGATTCCAATGAATCAAACACAACGACATTTGCCGCACATTTATAGAGATTTATTCTGAAGATTTTATTTTCAATACAAATACAGTTGATTGTTGTCATAAAATGTTTATGCTTAATCGGCGTTTGCAATTGCCTTTCTATGTGAGGGTGTCCTCAAATTGTGTTAAATCATATGTATAGACTCTTGAGATCAAACAATCGCCAGGCTGAAAATGGAGAAAAAAAATTATTAGACACACCAAATATCGGAAACCAAAAGAAAATTGAGTGAAACTTTTGGGCGGGAAGCTTAAACTTCAATGTGCTCACAAGTGAATGAAGCATACACCACCGAAAAATAAGTAAAAAAAATGAATCAAATTGCGACCTACGTCTGGTGTAATTCCGACGAGTGCATCAGAATGGCCGTAGAATTCTTCCTTGAGTGAAATGACGATTGTTTGTAGATTGGTGGTCTTTTCGACAATGTACGAAGCAACTTTTCCGATATTGGTGTTGTCCAAGGCGGCATCGATTTCGTCAAGCACAAAAAATGGTGCCGGTTGATAGCTGTGAATGGCGAATAGCAGTGCCAAAGCGGCAATTGTTTTTTCACCACCACTCAAATTGGACATCGGTTGGAAACGTTTTCCTGGCGCAACGCAATTGTAGTTGATACCTTCAAGGTATGGTTCTTCTGGATTGTCAGGTCCTAAATATGCTTGAGCAGCTTCGTTACGAGCCAGTGATTTGTAGATGCCATCGATTTCTTCGGTGATGTGATCGCAACACGCTTTGAATTTCTCATAACGCTGATTCTTCACCTTTTCGAATGCGGCCTTCGCTTTTTTCGCCTTACGACGGGCATTCTCGAACTCTTCATTGGTCGCAACAATCTTCTCGGACACACTCTCCAACTTTTGCATCGCTTTTAAATTTGGCGTTTGAATACGCTCCAATGTGTCTTGCTTCGATTGTAACTCCTTCTGTAGCGTGTCATTCATCTTTTTTATCGCTTCATTACTGTTCAATTCCAGTACATTTCGGGGCAATTTTTTGTAGTCAATTTGGAGCCTGGAACAAAAGTTGAAGAGAAATTGAATGAGAATTTGCTCAAAGGGTTCTTTGAGAAGAGGTTGCTTGATTTTAATTTTGTCACTTACAAACTCTCACGAGCCAAAGCGGCTTGATTTCCAACAACCATCGAATCACTCTGATCATCACCACCTTGATCAATGTCATTCAAGTTGCCATTTATCATTGGAATCATTATATCGTCCATCTATTGGAAGAAAATAATCAATTAATATTGTTCAAGCATCTTATCAAATAGTTTCATACTAATCGTTAGAAAATAAATTATGGCCAATCAAATCTCCTAGATCAAATGGTGACCAATTCGGAAAAAAAAACACAAGGTGTAAAAAACCATTGCAAAAATTACCTTGCTCTGAATCAAAATGTTGTGACGTTCATTCTTCTTTGTCTCCACTTTAGTGTCGATCGATGAAATCTGATAGTTGATGTTGTGAATTTCTTTGGCTAATGTGGCGACATCATGGCGTGCCTTGTTCACTTCTTTCTCCAAATTGTCGACTTCCTTCTTCTTTTCATTCTTTTCGGTCTTGTGTAGTTCGATCTGAGCCTTATCGGCATCGATGGCCGCACGTTGTTTCTCTTCATTTTGTTTGCATTTCTCGAATGCATCTTCTTCGTCCGAAATTACACGCTCCCATCGTTGAACGTTAACTGCAATGTTTTAGCATTGGTCATGTTTCAGCTGTTCAAATATTCATTGTGACCAATTTTATGTGAATGTACCTTGAGTATCTTTTGTTCGTTCAAAATCCAATGTAGATGTGATGCCATCAATTTGCTGATCGAACTTAGCCTGCTTCTTTGCACGATCCTGTTGTTGCACTAATTCACGCTCTTCGAACTGTCGAATGTTGGCCACACCGATTTTCTTACAGAAATCCGCGTACACTCTATCTTCGACTGTGTTCATTTTCTGCTTGATTTCTTCAATGGTTTGGTTCCGCTGCGCCATACGTCGTTCAATGGTCCCGATCAACGGCTGCGCATAACAAACCAAATTTATTATTATTCAAAATTCATTGTTCGGATAAGCCGAAATACTCACGCTAATGGCATTCAATTCATTTTCCAAATCTTTCAGATTCTTTTCATAATTTTGAATGGCTTTCTTTGATGATTCCAAATCTTTTTGGCTGTACTTCAAACGGTTTTCCAATCCTTTGATCTGACTTTCAACTGTAGCCAATTCACTTCCTTTGCGAGATTTCTTTACCAATTCTTTCAAATCTTCGGCCAATTTCTCTTTCTGTGATTTCAACTGAGCCATGTGCTTTTCATCCCATCGCTTGGCTTTGCGCGCCAAATCATGGCTACCACCGGAGATGATACCCGATTTTTGATAGAATGTTCCGTCCAAGGCGAGAGCCTGTTCGAGAAGGGAAATAAATTTATTATTTTTGAAGCCTTGACGACGACGTTGTCTTTTGATTGAAATATCAACAATTTCATAATATCATGAACAAAATAGTGACTGTTTGTGAAGAACACTAAAAGCGCCAAAAAAATCAACTTACATCATAACGACTGCGATCAATTTCATAGGCCACTTTCATGGCATCTTCCGGCGTTTCGCAGACCAATGCATTGTTTGTAGCGAATAGGACGGCCTTTTCGATTTCGGGCGGATCGAATTTCAGAACATCGTACACCAGTTTCACTTGTTTTGGCTCTTTAATGTCACGCAAACGTTGTTTCAACGGTTTTGCTTGTAAGTAATCAAGCGGTAAGAATGTTTCGACTTCCAATCGCTGTTCCTTCAAGATCTGTAATCACAGAAGGGTTTGAAATTACAAATGTGATAAGAGATTGAAATAAATGAGAGAAAAATCCAAATATCGACGCATTGCTTTAGTCTCCGACAAAATGAACCTACTTGAATGCATCGTCGAGCGGTTTTCTCCGTGTCAACGATGATGGCTTCCATGTATTTGCCCAACACTTTTGTAACGGCCACATTGTACCGCTTGTGCGTTGGCTGACACATGTTAATCATTCGATCATACTGCGGAAAGAGAGGATAATATGATTAAAACACGAAAATTTCAACAGTTTCAAAGTAGTTTGAATTATCTTTTCCATATATGGATCCATGCTATAGCAAAAACACAATCAACTCAATTCTAATTATTCATTCAATTTCTATTGAATCAAAATTCGAAATAACAATGATTTTTTCTAGTACATACCACGCCGGGAACCTCTCGTTTGAAGAGTTCGACAACCTCTTGTTTCTTTTTGCGACGAGCGTCTTCGTGTTTGTCACCTTTTGCATCACCCAATTGATCTCGCACCATATCCAATTCTTTCTGTAGTTCGGCAATGCGTTCCTTCGATGAGCCGACATCGTTCTTCAGTTCATCTTTGATACGATTTTGATCTTGTAGTGCCTGTTCGCTTGATCGAATATGGTCAAATAGTTTTTCCATTCGCTTCTGCACTTCTTCTTTTTCCAAGCGGCACTTTTCCAATTGACCTTCGATTTGTTCCTTCTTATTCGTTTCATTGTCAAGCAAATCTTGGTCGGATTTCTGCTCACGATTTATCGATTCCAAATCGCTCACAAATTTTGCAGCCGTTGCTTCGGCTTTTTGCTTCAATCGATCATATTCTTCGACGTGAACCTGTTCTGACACAACGCTCGTGCCACGACGCTGCGATTCATTGGCAATCTCTTGTTCGAAATCACGTTTTGCATTCTGCACCTCTATCAATTGTTGCTCTAGCTTTTGAATGTCACCCTGATGCGCCTCATCGGCCTTCTTGGCTTGCTCCAGATTTTTCTGGGCCGTCGTCAACTTTTTCTGTGAATGTGCCACCTTTTCTTTAGCTTTGATGAACATCGGATGCTTTTTACTCATTTCAGCTTCCTAAAATGGGAACGGCGACTTTTGAATTATGTGGAAATTTGGAGTTTGTTTACTGTATCAAGTGCAAACTTGGCTAAAATTTTGATGAACGGATCCATTTTTGCATGAATAAAATATCGAACGTGACTTACAACAACACGAATTTTCTGCTCCAGCTCGGCCAATGCACGTGAAGCTTTGCCAGCTTCCTTTTTCTTTTCTTTGAGCACCTCATCGGCTTGTTCCTTGTTCTTTTCAACGCCAACCAATTCTTCTTGCTTCTCTTTGATTTCGTTCATCAATCGTTGAATATCTTTCTCGATATAATACAATCGAAACAATTGACACTGGATTTGCTTTTCGGCCTGCGAATCAAAACATAAACAAAATCGATTGTTTATTACCAAGTGACTAAATAAACTTTGGTTATATTGTTTCAACTAAACCAACTGGATTGCCACTGTTGCTAACTGTAATATCGCAGAATGTACGAAACAAACAACGAACATGACTGTAATTCTATGAAGAAAAAAAAATACTCACAACTTCTTCTTTAAGACGTGCATATCGATCAGCTTCTTGTTTTTCAGCCTTAGCTTCTTTACGTTCGGCGGCAACACCACGCTTTTTCTGGTATGTATACTGTGTCTCTTCTTCTGCTTGTTGCATCTCATATTTCAATCGATTGTATTCATCTTTGAGCAATCCAGATCCGCTTATCTCTTCAAACAGTGCCGTTCGTTCTTTGGCATTTTTCATGGCAATGCTTTCGACAGCGCCTTGAAACACAAGGAAATTCTTTGCCTTCACATTGATGCCCAATTTTTCCAACTCTTCCAAATATGTGGCACTTTGCACACCCTGCATATGAATTACATTTTGAGATTTTGAAATAATGTTATGAAATTCACGCGATGTTTTTCTTCTGTGTACTAATCAAAGCAACACATTGTTTACCTTGCCATTAATTTTGTAATCGGCAGATGAACCGATAACCGATCGCTGAAAATCGATTTTTGTACCGTCGGGCAATTCAAATTTGGCCGTAACAAAGCACCGATTGGAAACGGGTCGTCCAATTGCAGCACCATGAATCAATTCACTAAGCCGCTTCACTCGCAAACAGTTGGTCTTTTCTCCCATCACAAAACTGATGGCATCCATGAAATTCGATTTGCCTGTCAGAACAATTGTTACATCAAATTAATTTACATTCGCAGAAAAAAAAACGAAAACACACAAAATCAAATGAAATTCTAAAAACTAAAATTCAAACGAACCGGATCCATTTGGTCCGATGACTGCTGTAAATCGTTTTAATGGGCCAATCGAAACAAAACCCTTGTACGATTTAAAATTTTCCACATCAATATACTTTAGGAATGCACTCATTTTTGCCTAAACTCTCATAATACAAACAAAAAATCCGAATTTCGATTCGAACAATAGAAAAATGCAAACAGTAAAAATGAAATGAAGTGACGGCAAATGTTTGTTTTTATTTTCTCATTCAAAGTGATTTCAGTTCAAACAACATCGCTTGCACAACATATTTGACGCTACTTCTGCTCGGAACAAAAAAACAATATAAACTAAAATTCGCTGCGTCTTTTTCCCTCTAACAAACTGATGGTTGCTTGTGTGAATTCGCCTCGCCGCACCAGCTCGTGTGTAAATGCACGCACGCACGAAATAACAAATTTAGTGGCGAAATGAGATGGCGCTACTGATCAATGAATCATTTCACTTTGACATTTTGTAAACGTATAACAAAGGCAATTTCACATCAGTCATAAACATTCGCAGTATTTCACAAACAACATCAAAACTATTTTGCGATTAAAACTTTGTTTAGTGAAAAACAATTGAGATGTCTGACGAATACGAGCATGTTGCTCGCAGTAAGCTAAAGCTTAAGACCGACTCGAAAAAAATCAACAAAAAGAAAAAGAAGAAGGATAAAAAGGAACGCGAAAAATTGGAACGAGAACTCGAAGAGAGACAACACTTACCACAAGCACCTGTACGACAAATGACCAAGGCTGAACTCTCGTTCAAGAAAATGCAAGAGAAAATGGTAGGGATTTGTGTAAGGGGTGAAGCGAATTGTGTTTAAATTGATCCTATGAACTTGTTAAATGTCTTTTTTGCTATTACGTTCACACAATTTTGTATGAAAATGATTTGGAGATGATATAGAGTCGAGTCTTAGATACGCTACCTAGATCTGGTCTCAGACTAAGACTCTTAGTCCATCTAAATTTTACCATAAAACGAATCATTCTCTTGTTTCGATTAACGATTTGTATTCATTAAACTCATGTCAATGTTGTTGTTTTTTTTTCAGCAAGAGAAACGAATCATGGAGAAGGCAACGCTAACACACAAACAACGGGTCGAGAAATTCAACGAACATTTGGACAACCTCACAGAACATTTCGATATACCGAAAGTCTCATGGACAAAATAGATCGTCGACTGTTTTATATACAAATTATGTTTGCGTTTAAGTATCAGGATTCTGCCTCGTAATTTAAGAATGTATCAAAATCAATCATTTTTGAGTTGTGTATCTAAAACCAAATAGGTCTCCTTCTCGTTTGAGAGTCAATCTGTGTGAAATTTTTTTTGGATTCAACGAGGCCAGTAGGCACTCTTATCTTATCTTGTCAATAAATAAAGGGAAAAAAAGAGAAAAAAAATATTGTGTTGGTTTATCAGATGTTGCGTGAACTTGAATTCTCTTTGAAAATTTTTATTGTTCAATGTATTTGAAACTATTGAGGCAATTTTTCTGTTCAACTCAATGAATTTTAAGTGTGTTTTGAGCAATCAACTTCAATCCCACACGAATTTTCACACATTCGACTCATTCATTCATAAATAACTGCAGATTTTACCTATAAATAAGTGAAGAAATAAAAAATAAAGAAATTCAAAGTACAGAAATAGAAACAAAATCGGAGAATCATCTATATTTTATTGAAAATTATTCTTGTTTTTTGCTCCTTTTGCAATTTAAAAGCTGAATATAATATGTCTCTTCATTTTCAGACTCATGTTTTATTATCTATGTCTTGAAAATCAAAATGACACGATTTATCGTTAACAGTTTTTTTTATTGATAATTTTTTTGATACAAATTAGTATGTTTATTATGCATGGATTAGCATGGATTTAATGTCATAAAATATCTCTATGAATTTCAAATTAATTTTTTTTTCTTCCTTACATATCGTATAAAATTTCAATAATTAAAAAACGGAACGGAAAAAAACAAGGACACAACTAAAAATAATTCGTCATTTTGATGCTGACTATAAGAAGACTCAATGCAGAAATTAATTTTATGTTTTTTTTTTTTTGAGTAGTAATAAAATGACAATTTAATCGAATAAATTCCGTTTTATTTTTTATGCTTGGGCAATGTTGATGTTTTTGCCAGTGATGAACTGCGCATCGACGACAAATCATCCTTGGATCGGCTCTGTGTGTGATTTCCGCGCACATCTCGATTCATCGTGCTTCCGGACTTCTTCTGCTCAGAAAATATCAAAGAAAATTGATTGATTTTTTTATTTAGTGAAAATTGTAAACATTCTCCATTTGATCGACATTCATTTTTGAACCACTTGTTTCGATTATTTGAAAATGAGTCATTAAAAAAAATTCAATCATTTAGCTCGTTCGAATCTCACCTTTGGGTTCTGCATCGTTTGTGAATAGTTAATTTCATATCCGTCGCTTATATGACGTGGTGTCCACGGTGCCAACATTGACACAGATCTGGAAACGGTTCGTGTCATTGGCTGTTGCATTGGTGACGATGACTTGGATTTGATTGAGCTCAATTCTTCGCGCGATTTCGACGAGCGCCGCGAACTTGCGACATAGGGTTGTGGGATGTGACCAATTGTTGTTGCATGCAAATAAACAACACTCTGTTGACTAGATTCACCTTCGGTGCCGGAGCTCTCCAAGAAACGCTCACTATTTAGAAATAAGTAAATTTTAAGCAAAATTTTGATGACGTTTTGAAATAGTTTTTGAAGGTAAGCATTTCCCCTTTTGAAATCTTGAATTATAGCCTCAATTAGAGGTTGATTCTTCAAAATCTGTATTTTAGAAATTAGTTCTAATTACTTTGACAACGCGCGCCGTCTATCAGCCTCTCGTGCTGGTTTTGTCGGGGCTTTCGGTGGCAAATGACGAGTTTCACTGGTTGATCGCTGTCCGTTTCGTTCGCGCAATGCACTTCGATGCAATATTTCCGCATTTTTCTCATTGTATAACGAATTTTCGCGGCTTACATCACGCGATGGTCGACGACTTGGCCGTTGCGAAATTTCTGATCGATTTTGTTCACTGGACTTATCATTCTCCAGATATTCCATCGAATGGTATTGTCTGCGTGATTTGTGCTTGGCATTCGGCGTTGAATGATGTATCCGGGCTGCTTGTGGTTTTTGATTCTCATTTTCCGATGTACTTTCAGATAGTTCGGGCAAGTATTTCGAACGAACGTCCTAAAATTAAAGAAATTTTTTTTATACAGTAAAATTTAAAATTAAAAACCCTTCGAATTGTAAATTCAATCTTTTTAGATTCTGAAATTTAAAATTTGAAGAAATAAACGGAAAATAAAATAGGGAAAAACAATGGCATTACTCTTGGTAAACTCTGCATGGACGATGCTCCTCGCACCTTTTGTTGCGAGCTATCCGATTCTAAGGTGCGCGTGTTTGTGCTTCGATTCGATCGCAAATTTTGCATACTCTGTGAATTACCGGCATTTATTGGTGTCCGTTTTCGGGTCGTTGTCGTTCCTTTTGACAGTGACTCCAAATCCGTATCACCGAAGAAGCGCAAATGTTGTGGATTTTTTGGAGATTTTGCTGGTTTGAAGTCCGGTGACGGTGACTGAGCACGTTGATACGTTGGACGACTGAGCGTTGTATTTGAACGCTTTACTGACGTTTTTTTCGGATCAGCAGACTATTCGAATGAAGAGTAGAAAAGAATTTCATCATTTCATGAATTTAATAATCTAAATTAGGAGCTTTTTAAATTCATTTTCAAACGAAGTTTGAATTAATGGACGTTTTCATCGACGGACAAAATTTATAGCGAAAAATTGAGAGATCCATGAAAAACCCTCATCAGTTTCGTCACATCGAGATTTTTTTTAGCTTGAATTACGACAAAAATCTTCACCTTTTTCCGTGAAAGTCGTTCCAATGATTTGAACCAGCTTGTTTTCGGGGCTGGTTTTGACGAAGCTTCACTGCTACGATGACTTGAAATGTGCGAAATTTTCGAGCTCTTTTGTGATGGAATGCGTTTGGGTATTGGACTCGCCTTGGGTGTCGATAGACGACGTCTAGTTGCAATATCAATCGCCTGCGGTGGTGAAATCGGCTCGAAAATTTCTACATCAATTTCCTTATGAGATACTTCCGATTTACTGGACGGTGGCGACGGTGACTTTTTCTTTGAACTTATCGAAAATAGTTCCTTCATCTGCCAAGATCATATGAAACAAAGGGATATTTAGCATGTGAATGACTATAGAAAGCTACACTTGAGCTAATCTGAATACAAATTACCTTCTTCAAGGTGCCGAATTTCTTATCGCTTTTCTTTGTGTCCGTTGGCTTGGTGCGTGTGAGTGTGCCTTGGCTCTTGGGCCGATCGGGATATTTGTCGAGACGTGGATCAAAGTGTGAACCATCATCGATGCTTCGTTCACGGAATACGAATTCGTATCGCTTTTTACTCGGGTGCAATGACTCGGACATTTGGCATTCGCGCTTCAAGAACAGATCGGTTATTTCCTTTATATTGTCCGATAAATGGAGTCGACGTAGTCTGAAAACATAAGATATAACATCAATTTTTTCAACTGCTCAGATTTCCATTTGAACGTAAGTGCGAAAAATCTCACCTCGAATTATTATCATCGCGTCTATGGTCTTGATCACGTTTGTAATCATGATCGCGTTTAAAATCGTGTTCAATGCCTGAATCGGCTTTGTCCAATTTTCGGCGATCGCTTTCAATACTAATAATATGATGCGTAACACCATTTACAAGTTTGTCTTGTTGTGGTTGTGGCTGCGGCTGTGGAGCTCTTCCCTTCGTGCGATGCTTGTAATTGAGATTTTGATTGATGATTTTGCTATTATTATTATTCATGATCTTTTTATTCGGCTTCTCATACTGATCGATGTAGCCCAGATCGATGACGTGATTTTTCGGTGTTGTTGAAATTTCATTCAATTTACGATCCAAATAGGTTTTGTGTCGTTGACGTTCTTGTTCTCGTCGCAACGTGTCCATATCGCTGAGGAAATCATCGTTTAGATTCGTTTCTGGATAGTATTTCGGTTGTTTGGCCCATTGTTTGCGTGGCGGTGGCACGATATTTCGTTCGGGGAAGCGTTCGTCAAACGAACGAATATGATGCATGCCATTAAAACCGGGATCTTCATCCATGGGACTGGTTTTTGTGAGCAACTTCGGTTTTGATGTGGCATCACGTCCAAAATCAAAGGATCGTTCATGAATTTTCGATTCCAATAGTTTTCGTCGATTGGCCAAATGTTCAATGCTACCATATGATGGTCGGAGCGTTGGAATGATTGGCGGTTCACTTGATGACCGTCGGCTGATATCTCTCGTTGGCGTTCGAATATCTCTAGTCGGTGTCAAATGATCATCAAACCGTTTTCGTTCATCGAAACCAAGGCCTTCATCTTCATCGCTCAAGTGTATGCGATGAATGTATTCGGTTGGGTGTCGATCACCACCGCCATTCATCTGTACCGGTGAACTGCGATAATTATTGTTATTACCGTGCAATTCTCGATTTTTGTCATTCAAAAATTTCGTGCTGATTGTTTGACGCGTTGGTGAATGAGAGTTGCGGGCCACATTATCGACGGTATCCGAACTAAGCAAATTTCGAATGGGACTTCGTTCGCGCGTTATCAAATTGGTTGATCGATGAATGGTCGAAGGTAAATTGGTCTTTTCACCATTTTCATCTCGACGCACTTGAGCGTATACAATTGGTGACTGATCACCGCTACCACCACCGGCTGGTCGAGTGTACGAAAATGCGGGCGAATTGAAATGTAACGGTGGCGAAAATCGATCCATTGATAAACGCTTTACCATACCATCCACTTTGAGCCCTTTAGTTAACGGCAATTTCTCCTGCGGCAATTGTGAACAGTGCAAACTGTCCAATGATCGCGAATGTTTCGATGAATTCACTTTATTCGATAATTTTACGGGTTTTTCGTCGTCGTCGTTGTCGGATTCGTCGTAATAATCGTCGTTGTCACTATGCGTTGGATCCAGACGTTTCTCTTCGGATTTGGTGTAGTGCAACAGTTTACGCTCATCAGGTGTGAATCCAAATAGTTTTTCAGCCGGTGGATTTTCACTGATTGGGCTTAACTGTGATTTTTTCTTCGCTTTCGTCATTGACTCATCATTATCCGGAATTTTGATGCGTTTACGATCGAGTGTCTGGCTTTTGCTCTGCAAACTATTATTGCCCGGTGTCGATGATGAATTATAGCCAACGTCACTTTTACTGCGACCAACCGGTTTGGCCGATCGTTTGCCACTGCGTGGTGAATCGGTTGCGGTACCTTGGCTGACTGTGCTTAGATTTGGGTCACTTCGCTTACTGAATAAATTGAATATTGACGGCCGTTTTGGCTTCTTTTGTGATGCATCACTCACACTTCGGCCCAACGGTTTTGACGATTTCTTTTTACGATGTGGTAAAGAACTGAATTTACGATCTTTCATATCGAAATCCGGGCCAAAATCGTCAAGAAACGATGAAAAAAGTATAAATGGAGAAGAAAAAAAAAACATAAATTTTATCAGTTATTAGACGAGATAGATTTGGATTATAATAACAAATGTGAACCAATTCGTGCGAAATATACAAAGATGCTACAAATGAGATTTGGTTCGGGAACAAAATTAGAACAAAAGACTGAAGAAAAAAAAAACTGAAAATGAAAGAAGTAAAGAATTGTCTATTTTGGTTATGACACTGGAATTACCTTCTAATAATTTCTCTTGAAGTCGTATACCGGCCAGTGAACTGGGTGTATCAACGGTGCATTTGATGCGTTCAGTCTGTGCAATCACTTTTTCGGCTTCTTTAATCAGCTCCTCTTTGCTTAGATCGGACGGTAATTCTCGTTTGACCTGATGTGGTGGCGGCGGTGGTGGCACCGGATAATGATGATCATCACCATTCAATCCGTAACTATTATTACCTGCACAAATGTGACACAAAACAGTAAATGAGTTTGGCATTGAGAGGCAAAATATAATATGTTCTCTTTTTGTCCAGAGTCCAGTCAAGCATTGAAATTGTCATAAATAAACGCTGATCAAATTGTTTCATTATAATGGGAAGAAATAAGCAGCAGCCTGGTTCTGCTTTATTGAAAATGGTATGAACGCGTTGTTTCTTTTGTAAATGGTAGTCGCCGGGATAATGATAATAATTGATTTTAATGTTGAGCGCAACAATTGACGCTGACAGAAATCGAACAATCGAAATAAACATGGAAAATCCATTGAATTGTTTCGCATCAACGCATTCTTAATTGATATTTGATTCGATCTATTGTTTGAACAAATTGAGTGTGATTATGTATATGTGTGTACGGTGATTTTAATTTTAATCAAATTGCGACCCATTATTTTTGCACACCTGAAATTTTTGAGATCAATGCGCTTGCATTATATGTTACTTAGTCACTACCATTAAATCAGACGAATTGACGAAAAGAGGAAAAGCTGAATGAATAAACGAGAGAATTTTTGCGCGCGCACTTCGTGTCTCACAATAACATGACCTTATCCGTGTGTGTATCTCTGTTCATATATAATGAATATGCCAAAATGGGCGATACTGAAAGCTGCTATAATAGCACTTGGGAGAACTGTTTTCAAGCTCGAATAGAGCATCGGTCGTCATCGTCGTCGTTTTCGTCTCATCGCATGGTCTTGCTCGCTCGCTCTCACTCACATTTTCGGTGAGTGTAGGAGTGTTTGCGTGGGTATGCTGCCGAATGCCTCAAAATGCGCTGTACGCGCGTTCTTTGAATGCTGAATTTCATCTCAATGTCGTCATATCAAACGTATTACATCATTTTGGCTCAGAATATGTGGCATATTGGTGTGTTTTTTTGTCGTCTTTCGTTTGGTGCTACTACTTTTTTATTGGTGTGCTTCTCCTTGTCGCTTTTGTCGTTGTTGTTTTGCGCCAATTTTATGCTTTTAATGGGCGAGAAGACTTGCGGATTGCATTTGGGAAAAATGGTCCAAAGAGCAGATGTTTATTAAATGTTTTGACGGTTTCACCGATTTTGTTGAGTGTGTTGTACCATTTTAAGGGTCGAACCTCAAGGACTCATACTCAATTATTTCCATTTTGGCGTTTTCAAAAATGGAATTACATTTTAAATGGAACACCACACATAATGTGTTAACCTTCACCCGCAACTCAGCTCTCTGTCAACTTTTGTTTTTTGGTCTGGTCTTATTGTGCGGCGATAAATTTTCACCGTAATACAAAACAAAAGTGAATTAAATCGACCGAAAAAAAATGGTTATTCCACCGCGAAAACGAAATTGTTGAAAAATTCGATATCTGTACAACGACAAAAAATCAACATTTACCATTTTTTTTTCTTGAACATTGAGAAAATAAAAATAAATTACATATCTTTTCGCTAAAAGAAACGACAAAATGAAATCGATGTAACGTTCTCTTTGGTACAAAGCAAGAAATAAATAGCTCGAGAATGATGCAACGGAGACTGAAACGAGACTGTTTCGTCCAAAAAAGGTAAGCAAATCACTCTCCATTTGCACCAGTCGCGAGCGCGCGTGCACCGTGTCGCGTATGTTTTCCATTATTGCCCAAAATGAAAATGAGCAACGAACGCACGAAACAAATCGAACATGATCGTTTTTTATTTCTTCTTTTAGCCGTGTTACAAGTACACCGGCGCATTGCATAATTTCGGCATAATTACAATTTAGAGAAGAGAAGAAGAAAACAGACATCACTATAAACGTCGTCGTCGTCGTCGTCGTCGTCGTCATGAAAAATGCTGTGTACGTGTGTTTTCACGTAATTTACGGTTGCAGAATTCATTTTTTTGTCTGCACCATCTCGCTCTTTTTCACTCTTTCTCTGTGTGCTCCAATGCAACTTTCCCCCGCTAAATATGTACGTCTTTCAACGAATTGCATCATCAACTCGAAAAAGTCAATGCGATTCATCTGATTTGATTTTTCCTCATCGATAACGAAATGAGCCGATTTGGCTAAATGCTGCTTATATGTATTTCATCTCAATTACGATTAGAAATTCCGATTGAAGAGGCGTCAGCCGTTTTTTTCAGTTGTTTTTCTCTCTGTGTCTCTTTCTCTCTCATATTTTGTTCAGTAGTACTTTTTTCTGTCTATAATGTTTATTACCTATTCGTTTCACATGAACATCCTTATTGAATGAAACGCGTGGTCCATTTAAATTTTCATGTGTCTGTGGCCGCTGCAAAGGTTTTTGGTGCGTATTCAACACAGCCGAATCCATCACAACCGAATTCTGTTGGCAAAATTTTTCTGTTTGGCTCTATAATCCAATCTTGAATTGTACGGTTCTAGGCTCTGGCTAATGTTTTTGTTTCGTTTCGCACGCGTATGTGTATGTGTGTGGAAAAGAAAATCAAAAAAATCGACTGAGATTCGAATAGGAATAAAAAAATGTGTTGGATTTGTACGAAAAATGGCGTATAATTTAACGTTAGGGGGTATTAATTCCGAAAATACTGGGTGGATAAACCGTACTATGAAAAAAGTGAGTGTTTTATTAAAAGTTACCATCAACTTTGTTTATATTTGGGGTTTAATTAAAGGTTTTAATGGTTAAATGGAGTGATTGCTGCGTTCATAGCAGAAACAGGGAGAGAGAGAGGGTGCAACATTACCATAATTTTCTACAAAGAGAAAGGTATACATCGTATAGACATTGAGGTGAGGGAGCGCGCGCGCGGTGCGGGAGAGAACCGTTTAAATTAACCACACGCGTTAGTGGGGGGGAGGTAAGGATTTAATTACATTTGGTAGCAGGTTTTAATTATGTGGATATTAATATGAATAATTAGCCAACAAAAATGTTTTTAGTTGGGATATTTACAAGTAATTTCGTTGTTCATTACAGAAGATCAAATGCCTTTTAATGTCCGTCGTTGTTGCATGGCTTCTTTCGTCGTCGTCGTCGTCGTTGCAATGCGTCAGAAAAATAAAAGTGTGTTGTGTTCGTTCGTTCTTAAATGCAACGGTTTATTTAGTTATTAAACCACTTTTAACCACTTAATGCTCGGATTAGAGTTTTTTGTTGAGTGTGTGCGTTTCCCATTCACACATACTCAACATAAAACTCCAATCCGTGTTACCGAGAGGAACACAATTTGTTATCAAAACAAACTGAAATGTGTGTTATCATAAATCGCACCGGAACGAATGCCGTTTTGCAAACAATATCGGAAACTTTTCACTCACGCCAAATGAACTCAACGAACGAGTTCTAGAATAGATGATGATGTCATTCGCTATGAACAACACTCGGTTCTGTTTCTCTCACTCGCTTTTTTTATGGGATTAAAAATGAAAGAAACGAAAAAAAGACCACGAAACAAAACCATATATGCAAATATAAAACGAACGTTTGCATATGAATTTATTTGCACCTCTATCCGGGGACAGAGAGAGAGAGAGAGAGAGAGAGAACGTGTGACGTTCGGTGGAGAGAGCGAGAAATGTCGGCAGTGAGAGTGCGAGAAACTTGTGCGAATGAAAAAAGAAATTGAAGAGAAAGAGACAACCGACTGAAATGTTTCAAATGAATCGAACACCGAAAAGAAACACAGCAGTAGCCGACAACACCGATTGAGTCGTCGTGCAAAGAAAAAAACCAAACAAATATAATACCTGTTTGCGATTTGTTCATAATTTGCACATTTTATTTATGCATATTACCGATCAGCGGTTAGATTGAGTTCATATCAATTCGCAATAACCATGAAAAAAAGGAGTAATTCTTTGTTCGTGCGAGCGTGAGCTATATATCGAGTAGCTGCTGCATTAGATAAGCATTCAAAGCCCCGGAAACTTTGTCAAACACGGTCCATTAGCCCGGTGTAAATGGAAATCCAGAACGAAAGAAGAAATAAATTAAAATAAAATGATAATTAGTCGAATTGAAAATGCTCTCGCGCTGCGTAGCTGAGGTGAATTTTAATCATTTTTCATCACGATTCTAATGCGAATTTCTTTCGTCTGACATTTTTTTCTTCTTCTCCTTTCTTACATTGAATTCATGCGGCGATAAAAATAGCTATCGCGTGTACATAAACATTGATCAGGTTTGTGAGATACAAAGTACATTAAAACGTGAAATGACGATGAGCACTTCAACAGAATCGCAATTCATTCACGATGTCAACGAGTCAATCATTTAAGTAATAAGCGTTGGGTTGAATTGAATTGAATCAAAGGAAAACGAGAGGGAGAGAGAGAGAGGCAGAGGCACAATAGATTTAAAGCGAAAAACTTTTAAGACGACGAGCGCCCGCTCGCACACACAAAATACCAAACCGATTGTGTATTGCCCATGAACTGTGTAGGCGCCATTCGCACGTTCGCATTTTTCAAATCCGTGTAACCGCTCACAAGAGTGCCATCGCTTACGCATTCTCGCATACCATTCACCGGTGTCATCGTCGTGGTCGTTTTTGCGAATGGACAAAAATAAATGTTCAAATCAATTAGCCGAAAAATTCACATGCCATTTATTCTTTCAATAGCATCGAACATATTATCAAGTGCGCATGCAAATCAAGTGAATGAAGGGGGTAAAAAACAAAACAAAACAAAAAACAATGCGTTATGTGACGACAATATTGAAATTAATTTGTACAAACAAAAAGTCGAATATTCGACGATCGTTTTTCATTTAACAAGATACAGAGAAACTACACACTGTCACCACCGAAAAAAAGAGAAAAAAACCGTTTTATTTTTATATATTTATAAGAACTTTGAAACCAAGCAAATATTGATCGAGAATATTGCGAACATGGCTTCATTCCTTCGGTAAACATGGGCATTTGTGGTTTTGAGAGAAATTCCTTCGCGGCTTTTGTGGCGTACGAAAAGATTGTGTGCGATTGCATGACACCTCTTTGACTGTCGGTCATCGTCAAATTGTGAGAAAAATGATATTTTCGCTCTTTAGAATATCAATTATCGTTTAACATTAGCATGCACACTTCTATGCCTGTTTTTTAATATTCACAATTTTGAAGCAGTAACAACGTCACTTTGAACAGTTAGAAGTCGCAAAAATCTGCCACTGGAGACGACAGCCCGTGCCCAAATGATGAATATTTCAATGTAATCATAAATTAGAAGAAGAAATCAAATACTTTGTCTTCAATCTAACGGACGCTTTGTGTGGTGGAGCGCTAATGTATGAGCTATGAATAAATACAATAGCCTAGCCGAAAAAATTACAATCGCAAACATTGTTGATAATAATCACTTATCATTGATCACAATCGATCACCAACGACAACATTTCGTTTATTCATGAGCAAATAATGCGCTATATTTCTTCATTTTTTTTTCGATGCTAGAAATCACTTTTTAATGGGATGCCATTTGAGATTCCAGTTTTCGGTATAATGCAAAAACCATGACCTTTGTCCCAAATTTATCGCATCGACGGCATCTCTTGTGATTTCCCATGAATGTGAACCCACCAAGCGACATACAAAGTACGGCGTACAACTGGTGGGATCACTGTACGGTGTCTCATCCGTAACATTCGATGTCACTAAAGTACAATGTTTTCATGTTCTTCTCGCTTTTTTTGGATTTTTTCCCTAAATAACTTGATTCTTGTTGTAATTTTAGATACAGATTCAAATCTTATCAGTGGATGTGTTTTCATTTAGCCAATTCTTTATTATATTTATCAGGTTTCTTCTTGTCTGTCGTGTGTCTTAAAAATGAATTGAAAGTGATACGTTGAAGATCTAATAGAATGGCATCGTATTCCCATTGAAATGGTGGTGAATCGGGTCAAATTTGACTACATGCTTGATCTCGCTTCCAAATAAAAATTAAGTCATTGAAACGGTATGACGTATTAATGACAAATGACACTCAAACATCTCTCACTTCCCATGAAGATGACCAAAAATCCTTGTGAAAATTCCAAATCTTCTGCGCACTCATTCCACGCATATTCAAATGAATGTTAGACATTGTTGTTGGTGGTGCTGCTGTTTTCGTTATAGAAGATCGTAAAAATTGTTTTCAATTCCAAATAAAAATTGAAATTGTTTTTTTTGCGATTTTTTCTATTCCACTTCCATATGGAATTGATTCATTCACTGCCTGAGAAATAGTTGTTGTTTTTACTATTGTTGACCGTTTGCGTCTTATTTTTGCCGACATATAAATATCGTTGGATTCTCTTTTTATTTCACTGTGTGCTTTTTTTTCATAAATTTTGCTTTGATTTTGCATTTTTGCAACCACACTGGAATCGAATACCATCCAATATGAATCAATATTGGCCATTTATGGAGCTGGTGAACACAACAGACATTAATGGTTTAGTTCGCATCGAGTGCGAGCGCGTGTCAATTGTAATGCCCGTTCATAAGCTCAAAAGAGAGAAAGAGAGCGAGAGAGAATGAAAATAACGTGTGTGAGTGTGTATGACAGGCTTATCCAATTTTGAACACCATTGCCAACTGTATAGTGATAGCTATTTTATTACTTCTTTGTTTATATAAGTTGATATATTGCTAAAAAATGATTAAAATTGGCCGATCTCGGTAAATTGCGATTTTGTTGATGTGCGATTTTTTTTTTCTCTCTCTCTCAATGTGAACTGAACCACACCGGCCCCAAACGGATTTATTTCGATTAAATCGAAATCGATTCTGATTTCGGTAATAAAGTGTCCATTTGTTCAAGTCGCTTAATACGGTTGCAATCGCTTGAAATTGAATTTCGATTCCAAATCACCGCGACAAATAGCCATGATTTAAGTGGCCAAACAAATTACAATCATTGTTGAACAAATCAATTTGAATATATGTCATACGAATATATAGACTGGATTCACAAAGCCGCAAAGGTGGCTTCACTTTTGCGGGCGCTTGAACGCGTGCGCCTTCATATAGTACTTAGTGATCTGCCTACACAGGCGCTGTACAACCACTACTGCCACTGCACTTTCAACCGATTTAAAATGACGACAACAACAACGACACCTTTTCATTCCATTTAGTGTCAGCACTGAATTTAAATGACAGACACTCCAAAAGAATTAGCTCAAAATATATCGGTTTCAATGTCAAAGACATGTTTTTTTGTTGTTGTTGTTTCTCATTGTACACCTGAGTAAAAGCAAATGTTAGTATTTTTGTGTATTTGTATGTATATTTCTGCCCGAGATTAATAACACTTATCTAAACAAAATTCGTTTTAATCGCCGTGAATATAAATTGCGAATTTTACTTGCGATTATAAAAATAAATGGCCGGGAATTCGGTGAATCTTCTCTCATATGTAAAAATGGGTCTTTGTTTTCGGCCCTGTAAAGTCTACGTCAAATCTACTCTTACGCTCTCTCTCTCTCTCTCTCTCTGTCGCACTTTGCTTGATATCGATGACCTTGAGCAATATTTATTTCGTTTCGGTTTCAGCGCTCTTTTTTTTCGGTGTATAATAAAGAGAGACTGTGTCGTTTCGTTTTGAAAACCATCGTCGTCGTCATATACGCGGCGCGGGCATTTGCTTTGCTTTGTCTTCAAGTTATAAACTTGATTGTTTAATTTCTTTGAAATGTTGCTGATTTTGCGCATTTTTTGCTGAAATTCACTCTGGTCGGATACAAATAATTAAGTAAAATTAACAGCGACAGTTCCACACTTCTTATAGGTTCTGTTTCTTCTTTTTTTTTGTCGGGAGAATTTTTTGTTCGGCTTTACATATATCATATCTCTTCTTCATCTCTCAGCTTCATCACAACGAAAGACTGTATACAAAAATTGAATGACCAGTAGTCGGGCGGCGAGCAAACCTCGTTTTATCACGTAACTGGAACTACTAAAACGATTTCATTTGAATGATTTGCCAGCGGCAGAAATAAATCTCACGATTCAAATAGTCTGGGTAATAATAGAGTCTTGTTATTGCAGTATAATAATAGTGTCATTTTTGCAAAATATATACAAAGATCAAGCAGCGAGTGATCAAATACTTCTTTTAGATTTTTCAGAGAAAAACGATTTTTCTCCATTCTAAGCGGATAAAAATGCGACAGATCGTAAACACATTTTGCAGAGATCGTTTTTCATTGGGTTAATTGAGTCGAGAGAGTGTAAAAAGGGCATTTTTTTTTTAGATCAAAACAGTTAATTGGAGTTTTGTTAGATGTGTGTACGTTTTATTTTACCTTGTTAGGTGTCGATAAAATTTTGTTGTTGTTTGTTTAATTAAAACGTCATGTTGGCATTTTTGTTTTTGTTAAATGGTAATAATATACGCATTAGACTACTAACGACATAAATAATTGACAATGCAAATAATGATGTATGATAGAAATAAACAAACGCTGGTTTATTTCACTGAAATTGAAACTTACATTATGTTCCGGTCACCGAATCGCGCTGTTTTTTGCGACACACCAATTGAATGGATAATTAGCGGTAAATAGACTAAATTAAGTCAAGCAATTGTACACTATCAAGTGGCACACTGAAATACAATCGTGAATCCGTGGTTCCCTTTTGTGTGGTTTTCTTTTGATCTTTGGCTATATTTTTCTTATTTTTTTTTCTTCTTTCTTTTGTTTCACTCAGCACTCAATTTAAAATCAAAGTGATGCGAGATGAGGAGAATAATGTGCAAAAAAAAGAACAAAACTTGTTTTTTTTTTTTAAAGTAGATAAATTTTCAATCGAAACTTTTGAATAAATAAATCACATGTGCGTTTCACTAATTTCCAATTTTCGTGTTAATTCATCAATGCTTTTTCTTTTCTTTTTCTCTTTAGTTTCTAATCACTTGAAGTAAAATGGTTCTCAATTAAAAATCTCACTTGTAGATGAATTTGAAACAAGTGAACCGAATGTTATTTGGTTTGTTTGTTTGTTTTTTCTCGTCGAAATATCGTAAACAAAACTGTCTCTCGTGTCGGTGTGTGCTTACACGCAACGACAACGAACATATTCAGCGTGAAAGAAAGAACAGAATAAACAACGCACACCGAATTTACACACAACTTGAGCGGATCGTCGATAATATAAAACTGATTGATTTTGAAAAAACTGAAGTCGGTTGAACATATGCGCGACGATGGAGAGCGCTCGTAATTTGGCTGAAAGGTGGTTTTTAGCTACTAAAAGCGTGTCGCATTGGCCCAAACAACAACAACACACGCCGTGTGCCGTGCAGACACATTCAGTCCGGCAAAAATCAAGTCAATGCTACAGCACAGCACACTGGACTTGGATGGAACCAAACGCTATGTGGGTCTTTTTGTACGATCAAAGACAACGACGAAAACAACAACAGCGGCAGCGGCAACGACGACGACGACGACGACGAAAGTTTTAAGCCTTTTGTGACGATGCTGTATGCGATTCGATTGGTTCTACACATGTGATGTCGCAGTTAGTTTTCTGTTTTTGGCCAAACGGCTAAATTGCTCTTTTTTTCGTCGTTTCAATCGAATGTTTTCTTTATTTCATACTGAAGCAATGAGCAACACTGCACAAGCACGAATCAACGAGAGAAAAAGAGAGATTCAAAGAAAGAAAAAACACGTAAAAAGTGCTAATTTTAAGGCGTTGCTGTTAGATCAAGCACTATTCAAAACCGTTTTCATGACAGAACGATACACAACAAAGTGCACTTCGCGACGCGGGTTCCAAGTACACACGTAAAATGGCAGTTGCAAATACAATCAGAGCGACGAAAAACACATAACTTCCATGTATTTCATTCATACATATTAGACGCAATTAACAATTACAACAATTACTCAACAGCTCTCGACACACAGTGACATACGATATACTTACTAACTATAGATGAAAGAAGAAGAAAAAAAAATTGACAACGCACTGGAATCTATGAATCAAATGAATGGATATTCTAAAGCACCTCAACGACTATGATCGTTGAAACAGAAAAACAAAAATCAACAACAACAACTCAGTCACCTCTAATAGTTGGTCTCAGGTGGGCGTTCAAAGCAATTTGTATATCGAAGCATCATAAAATCGCCAAAAATATGTGTTTCGTATGGAAGGCCGTATTCAATTAATGTCGACCAAATGCACGGTCACACAAAGTAGCGACTTTTGTTTCCGTTCTAAATCGTTCATTAAATCGATGATTAAGAAGCATTTCCTTGGTTTACATGGAAATGGAATTGAGTGCTTCATCACATCTATAGGAGTGTGTAATGCGAAAAATATTTTTGTAAATAAAGCCGACGACAACAATGACGACGTCTTCTTCTCACTTCACTGTGTGTAGAAACACTCAACGCCATCTAGTGAAAAATGCGATCGATGGATTGTAAGCATTTGCTATTCAAAAAGCATTATCGCTCTGTTCCCTTTACAATAGAACAGAACTTTTCGCTTGAACGGACTTTTCATTCCTGTTGCTTAATTGAAATTGAAATTTAATTAAAAGCGGAGGAAAATTCTTTGTGTGTGTGTGTGTGTGTGTGTGTGTGTGTGAATGAGTGAAGCGAGTCAAATTAACACCTCGTTGAAATAAAATTGAACACTAAATCAACTTCCTTTGAGAGTCTCTTCAAAAGGATTTTAAACTTGTGTTGCTGTTGGTTTTATTTCCCATTCAAAGGAACTCAAAGTTTCATTCGAACCAGAGTTTCAAACTGGTATTTTTCTTCGCTCTCATGGCAAACTAAAACATTTCTTTGAGGACGAAATTGTTTGATTTGTTTCGCTTGTTCTGTTACATGACACAAGAAAATGGGAGAGAAAAAAAACGCCAGTAACTTTTTTATACTTTGAGTTTGCTTTATTAAATAGAGAAAAATACAGTGACCAATTGGAACATAGTGAATAATAGACCTAATTTAGAAATAAGAGTTGTTTTTTGTTTGTTATTGTTATGAAATATGTAAAACGAAACATTAACGATTTTTTTTTGGTTGAGTGAGTGTGTGTGTGTATGGTTATAGATTCGAAGTGTAGAGAGTTAGGGTATGATTTTTGGAATTGATTTGATTTTATTTTTACTTCTCGTTTTGCATTCGATTGATTTTGTTCCATATATTTTCTTTTTCATCATTTCGTTCTGTTGGTATATTAGAGTGTGGTTGATTGTATTTTTAAAGCATTTGAAGTTCTGAATGAATGGAAAAATACATTTGGAAAGATAAGTACATGAGAGATAGAAGAAGAGTGACAAAAATGATATATCCTATATTGTATATTTAGTTTAGTTGTTGTTGTTTTTTTTTCTTCTTGAACACTGTGCATGGCATTATGCATTGGTTGATGCTGTTGTTGTTGGTTGGATTTTTTTTTATAGACTAGCTCAAAATAGCTTTCGAAACGGATTCATTCGCTGCATTCAATCTCCGGATATTAAAAAAAGGCGTTCGATTGGAAAAATTTCCATTGATTCTACACAAAAATACATGGATGGTGTTGTTGTGTGTGAATGTGATGTAATCATCAATAAAAAAAAATGAATCGATATGTTCGAAAAAAATTCTAAAAATTCAACTTTGTGTGAGGTAGCATTTCTGGCAAAAATTTCTCTTTATCTATATTTTTGGGCAAAAAAATTGGTCAGGTGTTTGTTCGTTATGTTTGTTTTTATTTCTTCTCTTCTTCATTTATAAATTCTAATGATATCATTTGACCGTGTTCTTTAAAAAAAAGACAGAAAAAAACCTTGAACCATGCGTTCAGTAGTTTTTTTTATATCCACGACTAAAAATTATTGCTAACGATCTAAACCGAAAAACAGACCGAGAGGAAAAAATGGATGAAATTCATGAATAGAGAGAGAGAGAGAGAGAGAAAATGTCTTTATTGTCCTGACGCTGAAAAAAAAATGATATATTTATACCACCATACCACAAAATTAAAAATGATATAGTACTTGAAAACCTAAACGCCACCGTTTGTCAACCTACGCTGTTTTTCTCTCTTCATTTAAACGATATGAAAATTAGAAATTCTAGAAATCCGGAAGTCCGTTGTATTCGCTACATGGTTCACTCTACTCTATAGGTATCAAAACCGTCATTCGATGGATTGAGTATTGAGAATGGGGCTTGAGACGGATATGGAACGTGGGTACAGACGATGGAATGGAGTGAATGATTGCGCGTCGATGAATGAGCTTTATTTCCATTTCGAATACCATTTGAAAGCATTCGCAACACTGTAAAATGTTTTTTGATTGCACAGATTTGTTGTTGTTTTCAATTTATTTTTAGGTCTAAGTGTTGTTGTTGTTGTTACTTTTTTTCATCGTTCGCCGAGAAAAGCTCGGAAATGATCATACATTCGAAAATATGGAACACAATAGCTACATATGTCTTCGCATGTGTGTATGCATGTGTGTGTGTGAAGAATTGACCACACAGAAAAAAAATCACTTTATTTTACCGCTAATCTTTTGTGTACCATTTCGATTGCAAAATTCAAATCCAACCGAAAATCTCAGCGATTCGTTATAAATTTTTACAATTTTTTTCATTTCTTTTAATTCATTTTTTTTTGGTGAACTTAGTTCAGTAACGCGTTTTTTTATTCGTTATATGTGTAAAACATATTTATAGTCTATTTTAAATAATTTTTTTTATCATAAAATGGTTTTCGTGTGACCGCAGCCTTAATTAATACATAAACATGAACAACATTCTAGTAACATTTATTCCATCTTTTGTGTTTTTTTTTTGTTTATTTCGCTTTTCATATATATTCTGTTTTTATTTTTCATATATAGTTTTTTTTTCTAAGAACATTTTTGTTGTTGTTGTTGTTGTTGTTGTTGTTGTTGTTTTTACCTATTGTTAATGTTAATGTTAATGTTAATGTGTGGAGTGAATTTGATTTTCCATACAATTTGATCTCGACAATACGCGCGCGCTTTTCCTCTGTCTCTTGCTTTCGTTTTCTCCATTTAGTTGGTTTTTTCTGCTCGTAGCTAATTTATAATGCTAGTTATTGTTTAGAAGGAAAAGTTCCTTTTTTCCCTCTCATATTCACGTTCCAAGCAGCAAATATATGATCGGTGTGTGAGTGTGTTGTATGAGAGTGAGTATATGGTTGAGTGTTTTCTTCTTACATTTTTATGCTAGGACTTGAACGAATTTATTTTAGTGCAGACATTACGTCTATTGTCGCGATCGAATTATAATCCCACCTACACTAAACATGTTTTACATCAATTGATTATTATGCTTGTTTTGTTTGTCTTTTTCATTTATTTATTATTAATCTTGTTGTTGTTGTTGCTGTTGATAAATAATCAATCTGTTCGACGGCTTTTAAGATACAAATATATAATATTTGACTTATGAGTATTCAAATATGGATGTTTGTGTAAAAATACAAGTGTAACAAATGAACAAAATGTTATATTCTTCTTCTTCATCATCATCATCTTCATCCGCATTCTCAATTCAATTAAATATCATAAAAACATACAAGCATTGTATACAGTTTTGATCTCAATCATTGTTGTTGCTATCATAATCTCATTTTAACAAATATAACTAAAAATTGCAACTGATTTTTCTTCATTATCTTCTTCTTTGTTGACATGATTTCTTTTTTTAATCTCTTCTATGTTTGTTTGTTTGTGTGTGTATAATTTTTCTATGTGTATTGTATATATAATATGTATATAATTTTAAAATCCTTTGATTACTCCATAAGCTTCTAAACTGCTCATTACCAAATAAATAATCCAAAGACCAAATAACAGACCACTGCTTATATATTTTCCCAATGCTGGGCCGCCCAATTCACCACCACCGCCAATTGCTTTAACACGACGCGCCAATATAATTATTATCGCTATAACAGCTTCCGAACAAAATAACGTCACCGAAAATGCCAAGCTACACAGCAACAACAAGCACCCAAGGGGGGGGGGGGAGCGAGAAAGAGAGTGAGACAAACAAAACAAAGATAAATTAGTTTGAGAGTGTAATTGACCGAAGGGCTTTTTGACGGACGAACGAACGAACGAACACTCATTCATTTCTTGCTTGCTCCTTCTTATGGAAAAGAAATATACTTACTTGCCAGGTTCAACAAGAAATTGCGAACCATTCCACCAATGATAAACAGCGGCTGAAATGATAAATGATAATGATTTTTGAATGGTTAAATATGGCTAGACAAAATCATACAAATTTAGAGTATTATTACAAAAACTGAATTGAGATGTATATACATAGATGTATAGTAGATGTGAGTTGAATCGGGGGTTTCAATCGTTGTCGAATAATTCATGAAAATCGTTGTTCATCAATGTTGTATTGCCATCATTTTGAACAATTTTTTTTTAATAATTCATGTAAAACGATAGATGTTTGATGAAACACCTCTTGAGAGAGAGAGAGAAAATTTGTAGGAAAAGTACATTTAAAAATACGTACCGATGGTCCATGCAACGCCGATACCAAGGAAAACATTTACAGCATTACTTCCAGTCACATTTCCAACGCTCGCATCTGCATACTTATCTTGGATGGCAGCCACTTTGCTCGCAAATGTATCTAAATAAATCAGGTGGTCGCAGGCATACAACAGAGAAAGAGAGTGAGAAAAAGAGGGAAAGAGAAAATAAATTATCGACCGAGAATAAAAAAAAACATACTTCCATCGAAAAAGCATCCAAGCCATTAAAATAGACAGAGGGCAAGTAGCCAATATTCATTTGGTTCAACCGAAAAATCATGTATCAATTCAAATGGTGATATTCATTTGAATTTCGAACGGCAACAGCCGGAAAGCAAGCAAGAGATAGAACGGAAAAAATAACACACGCACGCAAAAACAATGGGAATGTGAGGCGCGAGCGAGAAGAAAATGGTGCGCATTCTTATTCGTTGTATCCTCATTGGCTATTCGTTGTTTTTAATGAATTATTTATGGGGCGAGTGCGTATTATTTTCTGGGCCATTTGGTCCATCTGATTTCAATTTCGACCGAAATGGGCTCGATTTTTTTCCCATTTCTCGCAGCATAACAACAACAACAACAACTAAGAACACAATACAAACCTGGAACACTCGTTCCCAACGCAACGAATACAATTGCAGTCACTGAATCTTTGATTCCCAATGTACAGCCGAAATGTGAAGCAACATCACCAATGACAGCGGTGACAACGCCGATGGCAAAAATCGACACAACAAAGCAAACGTATCCACCGTAAATATCTAGAGAGAGAATGAGGAAGAAAAACAAAACAAAACACGCAAAACAAATGGAGAAAGAGAAGGGAGAGAAAGAGAAAAAAAAGCATTGTAGAAAATTTGAATGGACGGTGGGTCGGTCGGTTGAATTCAAGTGTTTGGTTTTGGTGTTGTAATAGAAATTAATGCAAATTGAAGTGAAGCTTTTTATGCGCCTCAAGTTCAATTTGAGTGGCCGAATATTTTCTGGCTCTAACTACCTGTTGGTGGAATGAACGCAAACAATATTTTCCAGAACAATGTCAAAAAGTGCATTACATAGTTGCCACAGCTTGGACTTGGCTCTTCACAATCGCCATCCGTTTCGTCCATTGTTGAATTATCATCGCCTACAAATAGAAGCGAACAGAAAGAACAAAATAAATAACATGGAGGGAAGAAAAAAGCAATTAGAAAGTAAGGAAAAAAAGCACGCGCATTCACTGGTTGGCATTTCATTTTTCATTTCACACAAAAGCTTTTTGCCTGCCTTATCAAGATAGACCATGAAAATCCCAACTACTACATTAAGCTAATCCAATGTTAAATGTCAAAAACAAACCAAACCAAACCGACCAAAAACCACCACAGCAATGTGTTTTTGCATCGGAAAATTGGCCTTTACTCTTGTGTGTGCGTACGTATGGTTGTGTATTTGTTTGTTTGGGTAGGATTGTGTCTAATTACATACCTGCACTGACTGTCAATGCATCAATGAATTGCTCTTTCCACGAAGACGTTCCGATTAGAAGTGAAGCATTCGCTCTTTGCACTAGTTTATCTACGGTGTTCTGTAGGTGTGTGAGAGTGAGTGAGAGGACAAAAGAGATAGAGAGAGAGTGAGAGAACCGAAGTGTATTTTGTCAATTAATATCTTGAAAAACTCCAACTAAATCCAAATTAAAATGTTAATGTATAATTGCCATCTGGTAATGTTTTGAACATGGAATTCGTTTTAACCAAATAATGTTTTGCGTTTGAGATATATTTATCTGTTGTGTTACATGCCACCGTTTTGAATCATTAAATCCCTTACCTCAGCCCGATGGCAATAAAACGATAAATCTCATCGAGATGGACGGGACGGGAGGTGAGGATATGGGTTAATGATGATGGTTATTTATCTTTAAATGAATAGATGTTTTGTAATTTGATTAGACGTGCTCTTACCTTGAACTCTTTGCTCTCTTTAATACGCAATTGTGCACGAGTGATGTCACCCATTTTGGGTCGACCGAGTAGCGCCATTTTGTCTTTGTCCGTGAGATCTTCGGGTGCTTTTGCCTCTGCTTCGGTAATCGCATTTGCTAATTCATCATCTTTATGGATTTGCACAGAAGTGAAACAAGATAGAAAATCGATTAAATTCAAACGATTCGCAAGTTACACAAAAGCCAAACGAATGCATACAAAATGGGGATGTATAATAACGGGGGAAGAGAATAAGTATTCAACAACATAGGAGCAATAATAGTTATTGTCTCAAAAAATTTACGTACAAAATGTTATCAATAAACATTTGGAATTCAAACATATCTAAACACAGGTTTGAAGATGCACGATTGTTTTATTTTTTGTTCTTCTTTGTTTTGTCATTTTTTTTTCTTCGTTCTCTATATGTTGACTGTATATGACAATAAAAATTCTAAATGAAATCTAAAAGATCCATGGTTTTTATGTTCTTCTTCAAAGAAAGTTCTATCTCTATAACTTTGCATATGATACACTTTATATACTCTAGTCAGAAAAATAAATGTAGAAGAAAAATACAGAGACAAAAAAACTCTCAGTCAGGGTTAAATGTCAGTAGGCGCAAAAAATGAAAGAAGTTGCAACCAGCTGGAAAACGTTTGAGAGTCAAATTAGCGTGAGGTGGAAATCTCTTTTTTTGTTTTTGTTAGATTTTTCATAATTCTAAGGAAGCGAAGCGGTACTCAAGCCTCATACAATGAGCCTCCTTGCTCAAGCATTCATGCGAAAATAAAAAGAAAAAGAAGCAGAAAAATTCGAAAGAAGAAATAAGAAAAAAAAATAAAAGAATCGGTGTGAAGCACCAATAAGCATGTATTCAGTTCAACAACACTTCCAACCAATGAAAACAATGAGTTTCGCAAGAACACTTTTTTATATTCATACTCTCTCTCTCTCTCTCACACACTCTCTCTGCTTCTCGGTTTCTTACTCGCGCCATACACCGGATGAATCTTTCATATCGAGATAGTTGATAAAGAGGGAGTAGATTAAACATCCAGGATAACTAATTAGATTGAATAAACTGAACATTAGAGTCATTACCGTTTCCTTTCATCTTTTCACCGAGAGATGCCGAGAGAGAGAGAGATAGAGAGAGAAAGGAACAGAAATGCAAGAAGAAAAAAGAGAGTCATAGCGCTCTTCAACGAAGGTTGTATCTTATCCATTCATAACACAGCACAGAGGGAAAAAATGTTGTTGTTTTCTTTTCCACATTTTTCTGTTCGTTCAATTTAAAATTGATGTGAAACAAACACGAACAGGTATTTATGGTCAGTGCTTGCAGAGAGTTCAGAAATGCATTTCGAAATAAACGTCAATTTTTGATGTCAATGCATTCGAGGTGGTAGTGGTAGCCAGGTGGTGGTGTTATGGGAGGTATTATAAACAAAGTTTCCACTTATGAAAATACTAATGAGCGGCAACAATCAAAAATGTTAATCAACAATCAAAAACAATTGTGTATATTAGTTTGTTAGCATAAAAGCAATATGTATGCTTTTTGTGCCAGCCAATGTGCAACACGGAAGCGTAATATATATTCATTCATACTATATTCACTTAAGTAATTGCATAACAAAAACCACAGAAAAAACACACAAAATCACAATGCAAATGTGGGAGAAAATTCAAAAAGCAATGATAGAATAGGCATTTCATTGTTATTATGTTGCGAGAATACTAATATGGAATATGTGAGCGGATGAGTTGTAATTCAAATGAATTATTGATTTTGGCCTTTATAAAATCTGCATATGATGCAAAGTCAAACAGACCCAGGTTCCAAACAAGATATTATACACACGGAAATTTGGTGGTTTTTATTTTTGATAGGACAATTTTTTTTTGTTGGCAGGAAATTTGATAAATGGAAATATTTGTGTTTTGTCAATCAGGAAGAAAAAATGCTATGAACAATTTTCACATATCGAATGATTCCCAATAATTATAGTAGTTTCACAACCTAATCGTGAGATAACAGATTATTTTTACATATTTCGACCGGGTTTGATTGATTGCAAAATCCACAAAAAAATTGCTTTGAATAATTATTGGGACTTCTGGAGTTGGTTTATTTTTGTCTTCTTCAAACACATCAAAATACATGACTGTATCAAAGGAATCACAAAAGATATAAAGACATTCCATAACTTTTTTTTGGTATAAAAAAATCATTCCTGTTCAGTTTTTTTTTTCTTCTGAAAACACTTTTTTATCAACTCAACACGGCCACAAATGAATGCACAAGGAATTTTTCTTGCGCTCTAGTACACAACGAACAAATGATCATGGACAAAAACACTATCTGGTTTTAATCAATCAACGTGTGTGTGTGTATGTGTGTGTGTGCGTGCGTTTAGAATAAAGTGTTTTCATGTATGGCACACAGGTTTGCAAAAGTGCGTCATTGTTGTTTGTATATTATAAAATATCTTGATGCATAAAAAATCAATATTAGGTGTATTTTCTTGTTGATTTGATAATGGACATTTTATTTTTGTTTTATCATTCAGACAATATTTACTTACAAATTCATTGGCGCATTATTCACATTTGCACGTACGAAAACGTTTTTGCGCATAGTTTCGGTATGCATTTTTTTAAAATTTCAAATAGTTCATCGTGAAGCAGAAGGACGCGCACACCATGGTTTTTTTTTTGGTGCAATTGCAAGGTATTATCATGATTTGATTCATTTTTGTTTTTTTGGTTTTCATTTTAATCGATTTGAATTAGTGTTCATTTGACATTCATAGTCCAATAATTTTTCAATCAAAGAATACATCGGTTTGCGTGAATTGATTTTTTTTCGTTCATTTATTCATAGCAAATATGAATTTTTGGTTTTATGTTGATTTGGTGAAATATGATTTTGCATTTAATTTTCATATTTCATTTTGTTTTGTTCGTTTGTTTGTTTGTTTGTTTTTAGAACGGTTGTGTGATGACAGAAGAAGTAATAGTAGCAGAAGGTGCACATCAGTGATGCAAAAGAGAAAGAGAGAGAGAGAAAGAAAGAAAATGTACTGTAAATATTATAAGCAATACATAAAAGAAATATAGAAAACATAAGATAAATGACAAAACACAAAAGAAATGAACAAACTAATTGAACATTTTCTACTCGTCTACCAAACATTGAATATAATATTTTGTTTTATTCTGATTTATTTGTTTCGTTCGCAATATGAATTTCATCACAAACACAACAAAAACAACAACAACAACAACAACAACAAAAACAACAATCATTGCGTTTCGTTAACTTTCAAACGCCGAAATTGATTGAAGAATTCTTTGTCTTTGGCGAGTGGCTCGCTTGGAACAAGTACCGGATCAACGGAGGCAAAGGGAGAATTTATCGCGCTCTTGCTAGCGCCCTCAAATCACTTCGAACATATAGTATCAAAGCAAGCATTTTCGTTGCCCCGTCATTGTTGTCGAGCCACGATAGTATAAGCGACAATGACAGCGACAACACAAGCATTTCCAGTTTTCATTTCCATTTTCGATGGAAACAGCATATTTATGTCTTAAACATCATAATTCATTTAAGCATCCTTGATCGACATGTTTCTACTTTAAGCCGTTTGACAAAACTCCTCTGCTTTACAAGCACAAATAATAATGACAACAACAAGAAGAAGATAAAGAAGTTGTAAGGGGAACCATTTTTCCCACAGTAGACAAATGAGATATAGAAGTGGAGAGATATTAAGACATTTATTTTAACAGTTCTTGATGACATCGCCACATACCGAACAATGTGACAACGAACACATAAATATCACTGCTGATGTCTCTCTTGACAGTTCGGAAAATTCGTGATTAACAATTAAAATCTAGCAAAATACTCGAACGATTTCTTTTTCTGGTGAATTTGTGCGGTGTTTGTTCTGTGTGTGAGGGGGTGGATGGGTGAGGTGTGTTGGAGGTTTAGGGCCAATGTTTGTTGAGACACTTGAACACGCTCTCTCACTCACTCACTCACATTGCTCAAACGGGCCGCACACTCACAATCGTTGTGCGTATATTGACATCAAACACGGTGTTGTGGTGCGGCAAAATGCGAAAAACACAAAATCGTGAATAATGAATAACGGTGTGTGTGTGTGTGTGTGTATCTTAAATGAAACGAACATATCCCATAACAAACACTGAATTAAATTCATTTTGATTGAGCAAATATCTTTTGCCCGCTTTTGGTTGTCGTTTAACAAATTATAAAATTTAAAATGATCAACAATCACAATATATACTCTAATAGTTTCTGTTTTTTGGTGGGTTCAGGTGAAGGGGTGGTGCAGAAGAGCGAGCAACACAAGCAGGTTGAATCTAATTAAGAGCGACGTCGTACATCTTGGCTTTTATATGAAGCTTTTCCCCGAGATTTTATAATTAAGTTTATTTTTTTTGTATGCATGTATGTGTGGGTTTCTGTGTGTTTACAAAAGATAATAGTTTGCCCTAGCAATTGCTCTGCACTCGCTTCAGTTGTGATGGCGTTTTTATTTTTTTTTCCTTCTTTCTTTTCTATGTGTGTCTCTTTTTGATTTGCTTCATGTTCGCTGGTTCTGATTGCATTAACAAAATTACTAAAAGAAGAATGAGCTATGCGCCAGGTTTCTCTCTACTTCACCGCGCAAACATGCGAACAAACGCGCCGTCTAATTCATTTATAGTATATATAATTTTCTACATTGTAACGTGAAAATAAAAATAAATGTAAAACAACACATCCAAGCGTTATATCATCGTTTCAAATACATACCGCCAACCATTTGTGGTTCACCGAGATTCACATAAAAAAGTACATCCTTTGGCGCAATTGAAATGAATACAGAAACGTAATTTTTGTTTTATTATTATAGTAATATTCGTTTTATAATTTTAGGGATAAAATGGTTTTTTTAAAAAAATTATTTGGCAAATTACCTTTTCGTAGCTGCCTTCCTCCAAAATAACCAACGGTATCGACTTTCTGGAAATCAACAAGCAAACAAAAGAGAAAATGTGAGTGAGGCAGAGAATAATTTGACGGCCTGAGAAGAAGAACCTTTCCTACAAAACCTGTGCGCAGAACACAAACACAGAAATATTTTAGTCAAAAGGCGAACAGCAAATTTGCGAGCGCAAAAACCTAATATATTTACAGCGAGCGCAAAAGTATAACAACTACTGGCATGCAAACTCCGTATAAATAGGCCTCTTATGCTTTTGCGCTCGCTGTAAATATATTAGGTTTTTGCGCTCGCAAATTTGCCCTTCGCCTTTTAACTAAAATATTTCTGTGTTTGTGTTCTGCGCACAGGCTTTGTAGGAAAGGTTTTTCTTCTCAGGCCGTCATTTCATTAAAAAATCAAACATTGATGACATTTTCTAAACTTATACTAGAATAACAACAAAACAATAGCCTAGTCTCGAGTGGTGGTGTCGCCTTTGGGGGCGCTTAAATTTTCGAGACTGCAATTATAAATGAATCAATTGTACATTTTCGACCACGTTTTGTTTTCGTCGTCGTTGTCGATCATCGACAACGATGGCATTCACTTTTAAATAATTTGCTAGAAAATTCAGCGTATGTTACTGCAAATGGATTATGGCAGAAACAAACACAACACCAAAGAAGAAGAAGAAGAAGAAAACTGTACGTCATATCGATTCGTATGTTCGTTCGGTTTCTCTTACTCTCCGTATTTTCATTTAGTAGATTTTGTGTGAGCGTGCTGTTTTGCGGTTGTTAGAAGCTCAATTGCATAAGTCGAACTAAATTAGCGAAGGTAAAATACGGTATTAGTGCAAGGTTCCATGACTGCTTATTAATTCGTTTTCGGAATAGATAAATGTTGGGGGAAGAGAATGCATCGCCGTTATGTACACACGCAATTTTCACTACCGCCAACATCACCACCACCACCGCCGTCACATTTTTGAATAGGCAAGCTTTTCCGTTTGGAATGTGAGAGAGAGAGAGAGAGAGAGAGAGAGAGGAAGAGAGAACAAGTAGGAAAAAAGTCCCACCAAGTTGGTGGCACCAACCGTGGAAAATGTACCATGAAAACGATTAAGTCCTGCGTGCGACTTGTAGGTGGTATCGAAATGTTTATTTCACTTTGGCCCATTCACATTATTTTCGGATTCGAAAGCAAAGCAAATTGAAAGGAAACGGCGAATGTAAAAATGTAATAATAGAGAGAAAGAAAAATCAGTTTTAGGATCTCGATATGCGTTCGAGTCTGATATAATATCCGGAGCCATACAATTCAATTGGAGAACAAACGAACGGGATGAAAAAAAGCGTTCCCCTGCGTGCAACACGACTAAATTTTCTATGAATTTAAAAAGAAATGCGCAACTTTGGATTCCTTCAATTATTCACTAATTACCCATTCCATGTATTCGCATTATATATATTTCAACCGAGCAATTACGTAACACACACACACACGTATATATATGTACACATTATGTGCCGCCCTTGCTAAAATGATTAGCGGAAGCTTTAGCTCAATTGTATGTGCGACAGAAAGTGCTTTTCACCAAATAACAGCCGAAATAAAACAAAACCACCTAAATGAATGAGCAATGAATTGTTGGCGCTGATTTCTTTTTTCACTCGCTTCTCTTCTTTTCTTTTTCTCCAGCTCTTGTTATGGCTGGCATTGCCTATTTATTGTTTTAAACACTGCAAAAAAAGGTTAGTTTTGGTATTAGAAAATGGGCCCGAACGCAAAAAAATCAACAACAAAAACGAAGAACAGAAGAAGAGAGTGATGGTGAAAGAGTAAGAAAAAAGAAACAAGTTATTGTAGCCGTATTAATTAGTTCATCTCCCGTTTCGTGTTTACAGTTCAGTACGAAATTGGTTCAATGTAATGAAATGAAGCAGAATAATGTGTTAACGGCGACTAAAATATTCCGTGTTCCTTCTAATTCCGACATACTGACACACATATGTAACGATATCGTATGTAATCTGAGTGAAAGCAATCCAAAAAAAAATCATTTCCATAGGCAGTGTGGCACACACACACAGAATGAGTGAGAGAGAGATAGAGAGAACGGGAGTGCATCTAAGCTCGTGGCGAAAATCCATGTGAACACCAAATTAAGTGCTGTTAATGTATCATGTAGTTGTTATTTTCTTATTTCTTCTTCTTATTTTTCGGCTTCTCTACTCTTTCTTGTTGCCGCTCTCATTCACCCTTTCTCGTCTATGCTCTATTAGCTTCTTTCACTCCAGTTCTCGTTCTCTTTTTCTTGCTCTCAGTGTGTTTTACATTTTCCCCGTTCTCTCCTTTTCAACGAGTCTATATAAGTTCGAACTGTGAAAATCATTAACAACAAAGGCGGCTGCATGCATAAGAGCCTACTTAATGTGAGAGTCGGAGAGAAAATGAGAAAAAGCAGGTAATTTTGAAGCTTAACACACACACCGATGGTTTATTTTTGCGTGTATAAAACCCGTGCTCTTTCTTCTACGTATGTAGTAGTATGCTCATCCTGGGCCACATTTGCACCATTTTATCAACATCGGAAATTATCAGATCAACGGTTGCTCTTCCATTGGGTATTTTTTTTAGAGTAATCTGTATGCAGAGATGCATGCAAAAAAACGGAAGTTACGATATTCACTCTTTCTCTCTCTTTCGATCCAACTACTTGCCATCGATTTCATGCGTTTTCTTTTCTACCACATTCGGTGTTCTCTAGATATTCGTGACCTTATTTACGTGCAAATATGCTATGACTCAACGCTGGTTATTATAGTTCAGAAATAGTATATAAATCAGAATGTATTTTTGGTGTTTCAGGACACATTCAGGCTCAATCCCGTAGTAGCCAATGGAAAATATCGAGAGAGAAAAAACGACATTGTTTCTACCCGAAATACCTTTTATATACGTTTTCTTTTGTGCTTAAATGAGAAAAACGCTTTTTCCACAATTAAAAAGTTCTAATCAAATTCGGTACGCAGCCTGAATGCAGAGAGAGAGAGAGAGAGAGAGAGAGAGAGAGAGAGAGAGAGAGAGA